CTTTGAGGATGTTGTATCTCTCAGTAGAGGAGTAATGCAATTTGAGTATAAGCACAGATTTAATTCCTGAAACTTGACTGCATCAATTCATAAAACTTGAACTAGGCCAAACCATGAAGGATATCTCCTAAGTCAATGAGGCCTCTCCTCTTTTGAAAAGACCGTTTAAGTAAGGAGATTTATATTTGTATCTCTTCATGCGCTCTCTCCTTGTGAATTGTCTCTTAGAGTCCACATGTTTATCTTTCTTAGTGCTGTCAGACAGTTCATTTTTCATGATACTAAGAAATGTAAAACTGCCATGTCAAGACTACGGGACAACATACCAAATGCCTATCAATGACAGATCTATATATATCAACCTGAAGTTGAATAATTTAGTAGGAGAGGGCGTGATAAAAGCATATCAAATTATACAAGAAAAAGTCCAGCTGCACTGAAATATTCAGGTAGCGGTACTAGGGTAATGAGCCAGAGACACCATTGACTCGCTGTGAATGTCCCGTCGTTACCTGCAGTCAGTGCTAACACCAGTAGTATAAAAGGTATCATACGTGCTTGGCTTTTATGCACCTCTTTGCCGTAAAAATCAATGTACTTAAAACAGTTTTACGTTAGATCCTTTCAATTAACCAGCTTTGTACAAAATGCTTTGGATCTGTTCAGAGTACTGTTGATTGATTTTTATTTTGTAATGGAAGGAAATAAGTCTCCAAAAAATAGTATTTTCCAGTCGTTTAAATGTGAAAATTGTGAAGTGCGATTTTCAATGTAGTTTATTTGTTTATAACACAACTTTATTGATATGTTCCAATACGTGTATGTATCACTGCGAGGGGTTATGTGGCACATTATATTTTGTCGAAACTCAATCATTTTATTGGCAGTTTAGTGGTGTGTTAAACTAGGGATGTTGCAGATATAAAAAAACAATACCTCAGATCCAAGCCTATGGTAACGAGACCCTGGTAGTACATTGGTCAATACACATGGAATATCACTAATAGTGGTTTTGAAAACAAAATGTCTAGTGTGTCCCTAGTTCACAACAAGCGCAAACAAAATGTCTTGCTACACAAAAAGCGTGAACACACTGACCTCATGACATTGTTTATCCGAAATGACGGAAAACAAGTTTACACTCACTTGCATTCATGCCAAACTTTTGTCAGTGACATTTTTTTTTTTTATGTTGATCCCCAATGTTGGCCCTATGTTGTTTCAAAAACGTACCGGACAATCATCTGTCAAACACACTAGTAAACTTGTATAGCTAGTTTTACACACAGGATATACCCAGCTATGATTCATGCATACTGTGTATTGAGAGCGGGGACACCCAGTACCATTTCAGACTTGCCCAGTGCTTTTTCCACCTCTGAAATCCTAGACAGGCGGAACATCTCATCAGTGTGACATTGAGGCAACTAAACACCTGACAATTTGGATGCCACATTTATACCCATGGGGATTTAGATGTGGCTATTCCTGTGTGCATCTACTATAAAACATAGAAATCCTTTAAGGAGTGCAACCTGATAGAGTAGAAAATAACACTTGTGCATGTATAAGGATATGGTTTTTATATAAATCTGTATCAAGAGGCTGGGGATTGTTCATAAGTTTTGCCAAATTTCTTGTGAGCTTGTATGTTTTTCATTTTTAAAAGTGAATTTGTACCCTGCTAAAACGTATCCTTTGTTGTTGAATGTATTACTAATGAGTCAGCTGAAAGCCTGGTGCTTGTTTTCAGTAAGGCTTCATTAAGATTATGTTATATCTGACAAATCTCTAACTAAACATAGGCTTGTTTTTATATCAAAATAGTACCAAAGTCTGTTTGCCAACAGGACTCGAGTAATTGTTTTAAAGCGTATACTAGAACACATTTGGCAAAACAAATCTGACAAAAAGGACTTCTTCAACTTAATCTACTGTGGAACATTGTGTATCATCACTAATAATGGACTTCTCTTGTGAGATTGCTTTGCCAGTTCAGAGGTCAATATTTAACTTCTAAAGTTTAGAAACTTGACTTCTTCATAACTGGAAGATCCCTGGAGTGCACTGGTGTAAAGTTAGATATACAATGTGGTGGTTGTTTGTGTGGCTAATGTTGGGCCATGAAATAATGTACGTTGTTTTTAAAAGGAGCTTTACGTGTTACAATGTGAATACTAATAAGTTGTAGATTCTGTTGAATAGTTAAAAGCTTAACTCCAGGCTGAAGAAATAGTTGAAATCCATGCTGCTTAGATTCTTTTTATAAACATTTGCTTTGTCAATACTGCAAATAAAGGTAATAGGAAACAGACATAAACAACATTGTCATCAGTTCAGTTTTATCGCAGGCTGCTGGGCGGAGAGTCCATGCCATGTCCAGCTGACCCTCATTCTGGTTGGCAGTGTATGTGAACATCCATAGCCTTGTCATCGATCCATGGTCAGGACCTGCACTCTGTCCCTTAGGTTAGCTCTGTGGAACATTCTGGGCTCAGGTCCCAGAGAATAGTGACATGTCAGCAGCCCATTCAAATGAACAGGCTGAGGGTAGCACTATATTAGCAGTGCTAGGATGGGGGATGGGGGATGGGGAGGGCTAAAACTGGTGCTGTGTCAAACATTGCAGGGGTAGACCAGGGAGCGTGGCTCCATGAAAGGTCTGGTGTTCCTCCATAGGCTCTGAGCTCAGGACACAGTGAAACAATATAATACTGTTGGTAAGATAAATGAAACGGCAGCTTTCTTCTTTAAGGTTGTATTTGTTTATGCCAAGAGGGTAATTGCAATGTGAATTACTGTCCCAGAGTACACTGTGTCCTCAAACCAAAATCATGACATTGACAATATGGTGATATGAAGTCATGTCTGGCGGTAGCAAGCCTTAGTGCTCAATTCTGATGTATTGCTCAAACAAATGTTGTTATGATCTTAACATTGTGTTTAAAATCTCTACTATATCAGATTATTTTTAAATGGTCACGGTTCAGTACTGACACACATGCACAAAAAACAAACATCACAGGCAACACAACGTCGTACAAAAATAAACATGCAGGACACTGAAGTCAGCTTTCACAAATTAATGTATGAGTTGATGTACTGTGGAAACCAGCACGTTTGTGAACTAATGATGACAACGTTAAGGAGAACATGTCCTGTAGCAGTGGAGCTACCTCTGTCAGGAGAAGTGTGTGTGAATGTGGATTTGGTGATTTCTTGGCTACGTTTGGGGACCATGAATGTCTATGTAAATGATCAGAAGCCATCCAATAGTGCAATCAGTTTGGTCACAACACTGTAGTTGTAAGCCGTGACCATTTGCTACGAATTGAAACTTTCACTTATTGCAGGAGTGAGTGAAGGGAAGTGGCTACTACTTCAGATTATGTTAAGAGTTTCTCAGAATCTAGCGTTTCTAGCTAAACTGTTAGGCTGTAAATAGACTTTGGGATGGTTTGGGTAGACTTTGCCTACATCCACATCTCTGAAAGGTTTGGTACATGATGATCATAAAGCTAAGAGTCAAAGCTCCCGATAAATAGCCATATTTGTTCGAATTCAAGAGATTAGCCAGCCCATATTTGGAGCTCAGGGGTTGGTTGGTTGTAAATACTGATTTGGACTTTTTAAGTGGAAAAAGTGTGCTTTATACATTTCAGGACAGAAGGTCACCAGTCTTTGTATGCATGCTCCAAATCTCTGGATCAGGATCAGTCAGGATTTATACAAAGCACGTTGTGTCTTTAACGGGCTTGACCTCCTTTAAACTTTATGCTCTCTCACTTGATCCACTAAACCAAGGAAGAAAAGTAAAATACCTTCCTCTTTTTAATATTCAGGTTTAATTCCTCTTATACTTTACAATCTGTTTCATGTTGGTAGCATTTTCTAATTTAATGTTTACAAACAAATGATATTCAACACTGAGTTACAAATCCTTAAATCAGCTTCTGGTGTCACAAACACTTCTGAATATACAGATTAGGTCAACTTTTCAAAAACACATTGTTTTGTGTACAAACAGTCTCAGCACATTAGCATAGCAACAAAGTTAGCCTTTTTTTTTTTTTTTTTTAATTCTGTGAATTGCTCGATTTCTTTGTAGACTTGATCTTACGGAAATGAAAGTGCTGAGTGCTTCTGCCTCTAATTTAATTGAAATGGAGAAACTGAAACCAAATGTGGAGTTATAAGAAAAGTTCTGATAAATTCATAGCATGGGGTATCCCCCTGGACGGTGGATTTGATAGTGAAACAGCAAAGAAAAAACCCTGATCAACCCTTCCTCTTCTGCATTTCCAAAGCAGACATATCTTACAGAAGTGTATTATATATTATATTAAACATGCCATCTTAATTTGCACATTTGACTATCATAAATATATAAAGTGTCTTTGTATATTTGTCATAGATGTAAGGCAATTGTATCTGTTTTTAAATAATATCATTTTGAATAGGAAATACAAACAAACTTAACTTGGATTTTTATGAATGATATAAGCAAAACTTGACACGCATTATACTCAGTACTGAAATCAGACTGTATTTGTCTTCATGATGTGAGTTATGCTAATGCAGATTGAAATTGCAATAGCAAAGCTTTGAATATAATCATATTAAAGTTGTGGCTAACATCTCCTTTAAACAAATGGTTTGGTGTGTTAAACTGGTTTTATGTTGGAACTACATTCAGCTACCTGTTCTTCGTTACCCTAGTTGGAAATAAAGAAACAGGAAATGATGGTGGATTTAGCTCAAAACCCTTTATGAACTGATGCTGAGTGCTTGCCACAAACCTATTGCAATGCTTTGCCTTGTATACATTATTTACATCCTGTTGTCTTTTTTAACTCGTAAACTTCTCATATACAAATACATTTGTAAGCAGTTTTATTGTTGGAACCTCAACCTACAGTATAAGATGGATTCTCATTGTGAATTTTTTAATTGTGGTTATTTGAAAATGATCTAACAATGCTGTTCTTGGTCTTTTATAGGTCCTCTCATCACGACCATTGATCAGATTTAATGGAAACCAAGGGGTAAGAATACATTTTTCTCTCTCGCTCTCTCCTTCCAGGGTGTCCGCGGGGTCTTATAAAGTATTACAAGTTGATAAATCAATTTAGCGAAAATGAAGGCTATTAAAAAGTATTAAACAGCATTTTCCAAGGTATTACATTTTGTAGCTTGTTTTCAATAAGTATATAAATTGTCCAAAGAGGTTGTGTTCTACAGTGTGCCTGAATGTAATCATTGCGTAGGTGTGTAGTGTGATTCTGTGTAGTTTATTTATGGCATCCCGTTGGGTTTGACGTCATCTGAACCGGACATCGCACGCTCACTGCTTGATAGCGAGCGAAGGTCCGTTTACGCCGGTTGTTAAACAACATCGTTATGGGGAAATGCAAGTTTGCATCTCTTGGGAACAATGCCTAAATCAAATGCTACTTTCTAATGGTTTATTTTTCTAATAAACCTTGCATTGGGTTGGTCACACTTCATTCTCATGTGAATTATGATAAGGAGTTATCACAAGCTGTTAAGTTGTGCTATCTTACAATCAATACTGTATATAGTAAATGTGAGGTAAAGTGTGTCGCCAATGTAACCGGTTAGAATTCGAAGTGGCGATGAGGTCTTAAAATGTATGGGAAGGGTCTTAAAAAAAGGTCTTAAAATGTATTACATTTGACTCCTGCATATACCCTGCCTTCGCAATTTCCTCATTCAATGCAAACTGAGTTTTTTGGTTAATAGAGATAATGTTAAAGAAATAAAGTATTTTTCTTTTATTCATACGGGCAATATTATAGTTGGCCAGATGGATTTCAAATTACAGGTGTCTGAGCCAGAAATGAATTTAGATTTAACATGACCTGCCTCACAGAAATTCCGAACTTTCAGAAGAGCATTTTGAAGTTCAAACTCCAACAGGCGTCTTTACAAACGGGCACGTGATCATGCCAACATGGGTATCATTTTCAAGCTAGCTATTTCCTCCACCAACATGACACTCCAGTGCCATGTCTTGAAAGTGTCGGCCTTCAAGAGCAGTAGGAAAGCTGCTAGCAAAGCTGCTTCGGATTGAATGATGTTCTTTTTGCCATATGTGTCATGTGCAGTGTCAACAGAACTTTTTATAAGGCACTATTTCTCAGCCTCTCTTGGCACAAGATTAGTTTTATTTTTGCTTTGGTTCCTAAATGTACAAAATGTCAAGTGGGCCTTTTTTGCATGGCAGGCAAAATACTCCCAAACCTATTTTCTAATACATGATAAGTTCTCACTTGTTAGTTCCCACTGTGTTGTTAGTAAGTGCCTCCGATGTATTATATAAAGCTAAAGGAAGGTTTGTTTGAATTCTTCGTAAAAAATGTTTAACAGATGATGATAATGATCTTTATCTTTATGCGTTAATCTCTCTGAGTTCTCTAGGATCCAGTATAATGATATTTGGGACATTTCATATCTTGGAAATCAAATTGGATCAAAGGCTCTTTTGATGATTAGAGAGGGTGGCTCTTTTGGTGGCTGTCAATAATTGTGCTATCACCAATATTAAAGGTCCCATGTCATGCTTTTCCAGTTATTACCCGTCCCCTTGTGTGTTATGTAGCTTTCTGCATGTAAACGGTCTGCAGAGTAAAAAAACCCTCAAAGTACACCCTGTAGCGAGTAAAACTCTAACACAGAAAAGGCCTGTCTATGCTGCCCCAGAACGCCTCGTTGGAGATTTTTCTTTTTCCGTTTGTTTCTTCCGGGAACCAAGTGACGTAACGACGACCCAATGGACCAATCCGCGGAGCCGTTGCGTAACACATTGTAACACATAATCACTGATGTTCCGCTGTAACGGTGGTGGACCAATCAGAGCACACTGGGCTCACAGGGAGGGGGGGGCAGGAGCTCCAACAAGCCGTTGAGGACAGAGAGTGAATACACATACTATACAGAGATGCTGTATGAGAAACCAATGTGAGTTTGGAAAATTGCACAATGTAAATCTATTCTAGTAGACCTCAACAATGGAATTATGATCAGTAGAAATGGCCATGTCATGGGACCTTTAACATGACTAGTGATAAAGCGGCTTTAGCTAGAGCAGTGGTTCTCAACTGGTCAGGCCTCGGGACCCACTTTTTACTTGGTCAATACATCGCGACCCAACATTTTGAAGCACTCAAATCTATTCAACAAAAAATCGTGCTGTAATATATATATACGCTTTTGAGCATACAATATTAATAAAATAAATTGAAGTACAGTGCATATATCCCTTATATCCCTTCACAGAACTAAAGTATGCTTTTAAAAAAGGTTTAATGAGATGATGGAATCAAAGCTGAACTATATAAAAAGGCACACATGCTGAAACCCAACCCCAGCAGGGGGGTCTGGGGGGATTCTCCCCCAGAAGATTTTTAGAAATACTAACATAAACTACGCATTCTGGTACACTCTGAGAAGAAAATCGGGCCTTCAAAATAAAAGTTTGACTTTTTCACCCCAAAAAAAAAAAAAAAAAAAAATCCAATTTTTTTTTTTTCCAACTTTTTTTTCTTCACTCACACATCCGCGACCCACTCGAAACGGGTCCGCGACCCACTTTTGGGTCGCGACCCACCAGTTGAGAACCACTGAGCTAGAGCACACTAAAAGCGCGGAGCTGCTATTATTCACTACTGCAGCAAAAGTAGAGTTACATCTGCCTGCCACTGCCTCTTTGCTGTAATAGGGGCACGGCAATAAATGCACAATGTATGCTAAGTGTAGGAACAAAACAAGTTGCAATAAAATAGATTGAGGATCCTTATTTCCCACAATGGAAGAAACTGCCTCCTTTTCTGCAACTGGATTCTGGTTGTTTATGAGAATGACAAATCTCACACGAGGGCCAGTACTCTCTCTATGAGCAATTGTCTCCTCAAAGACAATAAACATCCACATGCTCATAAGCATTCTCTGCTTAATAAACGTATTCCTGCATGAGCAAAAGGCAGCACTAGCATGTGTTAGCCTGCCCAGACTGACTTACTGTGTGTGTGTGTGTGAAGTTGACATCCACAGATCTTGTTCAATCAGCGACCTCCTTTTTATATCCAAAGATTATTTTTGCGGTTCATCTTTGTACAAAACGCTCTTATGAGGCATTACTGGTCACAATGCGTCCAATAGCAGGATTTCTAGCAGCTCTATCCTATGTTTTGACATATATATACTCCTCTCTTCCGACCGATTCCCTTTCAACCTTACTGCCTACACTGCATCCTGTGAAGGGGTTGACACTATAGGTTATCAAAGGTCATCAAATATGCTGTAAAACGATTAGCACCATATCCAGAAATGCAGGTTGAATGTCTGTCCTTGGGGTAGACGTTTGATTAATTATTAACCTTTTGTTTTACCTGTTACACTAGTCAGCATCTAAACTTCTGCACATTTCTCAATTTTCTGAGGAGGATCTCAGAGTTGTTTACTCTAAAATGCTTCATGGTGAAACATTAGATTTGCCACATCCTCATGTTGTTATTGGCCAAAAGAACATAAACACTTAGATAAGAGACTCAGCACTTTCTTCCTTTTTTTTTTCTTCAATGTTTTTCAATGTTTTGAAGTTGTGTTTTTATTATGACACGGCAAGATCATGAAGCTGAGTTCATCGGCTTTCCCCTCATTCATCGTTGAATACAGTGTGCGAATTCCCACTCTTAGAAAAGGGTGAAAGTTTAGGTGGATGGCAGGTGGCCATAACTAGAACATCAGCTTGTTTGTATTGTGATTTCTAGACATAAGCAGTTTTTTCTTAAACTTGACACTCGCATGTCTAAGGACAAACGAGCAAAAACTGCTTACAGACAGCTGCACTCACATTATAGCACAAAACCCGCTAACACCTCGTCTTGTCCATGCTGCAGTATCACACACACACACACAGCTTGTTAACATGTATTTATAATGCTCGATATGTTGCTATGGGAATTAACTGAATGCTTTCCAAACTCTCATCAATAAACCTCAGGCAGCAGCAGAGAATTTTGTCTAAAATAATGTTTTGGGTGTGCAGGTTGTCTTGAAGAATTTGTAAGATGTTGGATATCATATGATCCTTTGTATAGCTCTGAGTATTTTTGTTATGGTCTATGATTTCTACATTGGCAATAGAAAGATGGATGGATGGATCCGCTGTCAGTCCGGTAGATGTTGGAGAGGGTGCTAACAGTTATCCATAATTGAAAACAGTTTGTCCAGTGTCGTCCTCTTCACCAAAAGTGTCCAGTTTGCAGCTATTATTTGAGCGTCTTCTCGGATTCTTAAAACGAATCATGCTGCCACCCTGCTTCAATTTGTTTGTATGAAATTGTGAACAGTGCTGTGAAATTCTGCACAGAGCCAGTGTCCGTTTCTTTAAATCGCCTTTTTTCGCAGGCATTGAAATCGCATATGTATACAAGCATTCAGGCATATGTGTCGTGTTTGCACAAATCAGACGGTAAACCTGATGTGTATTATCCAAAGTTCTAATGCTGAAGAGTAAAGGAAGGCATGTATTTTTCTGGTGCAGCCGGCTCGGTTTGTGGAGGAGAATCTGTCACTGTTATCAGAATGGTAGTCAGAAGGGAGAAAGTGGCTAAATTACAGAGCAGATGGCCTGGCTGGCTGAGCTCACATATATTCATTCACTCATATTCATTCATCTGGTGCTGCTTCTCTCTGGGCTCTGACTAAGTGCACACTCGCATAACAAGTTTCCTACATGTTTTGCAAAGGAGAGTATTTAAAGACACAAAACAGGCAATTTAGCGAAAAGTCGGAGTTCAGACTTGAAGTGACAAAAGATGGTGTATACAACGCCTACATTAAACACGTATGATCAGTAATAACTCAACACGGTCGATGAAGCTTCTATTAACTGTCTAGTTGGAGAGTTAATGGAAGCTTCAGAGCCCAATCAGCCGTCATTGACACTAGATGAGCCTTATCCACAACTGATGTCCATTTAGCATGTTTAATTGTTGGCAGAGGCAGTTGGAGAGAGAGAGCTCTCTGAATGGCTCTTCGGCCGAGCAAATCAACAGTTTACAATAGTTTTCCAGCCAGTTTTAATCTCTAATTATTATATATTATACAAGCTAAATCTTTAAATTCCAGCTACAAATGTTATCTGAACATTAGATGAAGAAATTGTGTGTGTTTACATTGTTGTATAATATTAGGCTATTTGAGTTTTTCTCCTGCACCATCAATTTGGGATAACAAATACTGACTGCTGATAAGTTCATAAACAGAAGACAGAAATTAGGCCACATGAAGCGAAGCAAAGCAAAGCTTCATCTTTGATGTGGGCTTTGTGTTTCTGGCCTCTATCAGTTTTGTTGTTGTTCTGCCTCTTTGCTCCTTTTCTCTCGCCTGTTCTTGGAGAGAGGACCGGGTGAAGTGCGTGGGGGGCATTGTGTGCTCGCTGCCATACAGAATGAGAAGATGAGGCTAGCTGCAGGCAGATTAAGGAGGGGGTGGTTGAACACCTGTTGAAAATCCACTTCCAGCCCTAGAAAAGCTTTCCAAAGGTGATTATTACTTGTAGAGATAGTGTTTCTTTGTCCTTCATCCAGTGTTTAAAGTAGTCTCTTTTAAACTGTGCCTTTTTCCATTGCTCTCTTATTTTAGCTTTTGTGTCAACAGCTGGCTAAAGCTTTGATAAACACTTCAACCGATGCTGTTGCATGCAAAGTTTTTAATTTGCAAGTAAAACAGATTTAAACCTGTGGGTTTATTTGTGTTTCCTTAGACGAGAAAGCAGTTGGGTTCACATTAAAATAATGTTCGTTTGAGGTTCCCCTGTCCACAACTCGATATTACCTGTTATTTCACCTCAAACCCCTCAAGATGCACCCTCTACTTTTCAAAAGTGAAAAACATTGACATATTTCAATGCTCAAGATTGAACATGACAAACATCACATTAGAACGACTCTTTTATATTAGTTTACAATAGACTGTTTTATAGTCCAGGTGCACTATAAACTAGAGTAAGGCCAACTCATTGACAAAAAAAGGAGTGTCAGCTTCCACCCTGTGACCCGCTTTCTTAAGAAACTGCACTTTACCACGCACGAGTAAGTTAGTGTATGCATATAGTGGGTTTCAACACTCTCTCGTTTCTTAAGCCTGAGCCATTTGGTGTGGAGAGGCGTCTTTTATCCTCTACAGCGTGAGTCAATAGAGCCTCTCCTTTTTGTTGGTTCCTCTGCCTCTTAATCATGTCTGGGTTTACACAATCAATGTTTCTGCATATCAGCTGTGCATGTAGGTGTCCTTCAACTCTGGCATAGGACATTTTTAGCATATTTAATGTATTCAAACTACCACACGTTTTTTCCTGTAAACTCAGGAATAGAATCTGACTGTCACATTTGAGGCTGGGCATATCCTCTAATACACTCTTACAAGGAATTGATTGATCTTTATTGGTCCTGGAATAAGCCATTTATAAATTATGTATTGGGCTTTGTGTGAGTAACAGGAGTTGCTTCTGTATTTGCTGTATTCACATTTAAAGGGGCCCGAATTATGCTAATGTTCATATTTGTGTCTTGTGCCTCTACTGTGACATGTTTACATACTTTAATGTTCAAAAAGCTCTTTATTTTCTCATACTGCCTGTGCTGCAGCAACTGGCTGGTTGAAGTCTATAGATTAGACACAGCAGAGGGTTGTAGCAACTGTGAAAATATAGAGCAAGAACATTTATCATTTTAACATATCTTGTTGTTCCTCACAGACGTTTCAGATTGTTCTTTGTAACAGGATTTAAGTTTGTCTTTTACATCTGCGGCCACAAATGTCTCTACATCCTGTCATTTAAATGTGTACTAACCTATTACACAATGTGGTGTGGGATCGTCCTCTTCCTGTGTAAATTGTTGGTTATTGTCATAAGGACGATAATAACAAGTACCGCTGAAGTTGTATCGGTTATTGATTTATCTGTATGAGGTCGAGTGCGGCAGATGCAGTAAGTGCGTTATGTTATGGAGCATTATGGAAAACTAAAAGCAAAGGTCTTCCAGCGGATAAAATAATCAATACATAATACGACAGGCACACATAAATGGATATTGTAGTTATTTGTAGTCGGCCATATGCAACCTTCATGTGTTCGGATTTTTGAGTAAACAGAGCTAATCTGCCTGCAGTCTGACAGCACGTCTGACTCCTGATGAAGAGGCCAGTGAGTCACCGGCTGAGCCTCTGGTGGAGGTTAGCTCAGTGCTCACTGGTCAAGAGGAGCTGAACTGGGGATCCTGAACCATCGAATTCAGCATATTTTGTTACCGTGTGATGCACAGCCTTGATGCTCATGAAAGCAGAGCTGAGCTGGGGTTAGCCTGCCAGGGCCTCGTGGAAACACAACCCTCCGCCTGACCTTACCTTACCTGCTCCTAAACTACCGTTCCTGCTGGTTTTCTCTCAACTTATCAAATGAATTAACTTGTCAATCCTTTAATGATAGGGTGTGAAAATAATTTTGAGGTGATGTCAGGTAGACTTAATCGCCGAGGCAAAGTTTCAGTGTCACCCTCGGCTCTCTCTTTCACATTTCTCTCTAAGCAGATTACTGACATGCCTCTGTGCACCGCATTCAAATGTTAACCATTTCACCCAGTGCTCAATGAAAGATGTCTTTTAAAGCAGAAAACTAAGCATCTGCATCACAGTTGTACATGTCAAATTATTTCCTCAATTTAACCAAATTGTCCCGCAGCTGTCTGATTACTGGTTCGCAGAGTTGACTCCATGTCCTCTGTAGTCTTCCAAATGTAACACCTGTAGTGTGGGATGAAGGGGGACGAATAAGATGTGCCTAACTATGTTGAGGCTAGACACTGCAGAAATACCTATCATAGTTCTTCTGTTATAGTCATTTACCTGTGGTTCCTCCAATCACACGTTGGGAACACTCTGCCGTGCTGGAGGAAGACAAGGCAGCAGATTTTAGCTGCGTTTTTCTGAGGCTTTCAGTGTTTTTGAAGCAGGCGAGAAAATGCCTTGGGCTTACTGACAGATGTACGTAGTCGGAGCCAGGTTTTCAAAGAATGGAGCACTGGCATTTGCTTTCTGAATGCCTCAAAAAAAGAAAATGATTGTTGCTGTATTGTAAAAGGTTTTGAAGGCTCTGTGGCCCCTTGTTCTGACACTCACTAATTAAAAACGCGCATAGCTCATGGTGATTTCATATTTTAATGTTTTATTCTTCTTTGTCTTCAACAGAAAATTTCAATACCACGGTCAGAAAATTCCAGTGAACTGCAAACGTTTACTTTCTACCTGTCACATGTGGGCAGAGATAACCCCCAGGGCAGCTTCGACTGCATCCAGCAGTACATCACCAGGTAAAACCAACACTGAATTTCACTCACTTTTACTCCTTTCTCTCATCAGATCTGCAACAAATCTTCTTCTGCAAAAAACAGATTCTCTGACAGTAACATTTATGTCAATTGTGGTGGAACATTTGAATACTGTCATTGAGGTCCGTGTGAATAATCAGCAGTCTTTGGAAAGACAATGAGTGTTTTCGGGTAGACATTATTTTTGATTTAACATTTCTATAACGTGAGCTGAATCCCTGATGCTTAATATCAGCTCTGGTGAACACAGTTGGGATTTTGGCTGAACATAGCTGCTACGGTGTGGAAAGATGCACACATGATGTCTATAACATTGCATTACACCAGTATCATGCACATGCCTTCTTTACTTTCATTTAAAAGTTTAATACCAAATAGTGTAATTAAATGTATAATAGATCTTACAATAATTGTATATTTGTCTATTTTATAATTTTTTATTCAACAACATACATTTTTGCACAGTTGCAAAAATAAGAACACAGTTGTTAAACTTTTTTTTTTTTAAAGTGCATGCATCTTTGTTTTTATGCATTTAAGATAAATTAAAAAGTGTTTAAAAATATTTAAACTTAGTGTAGGTCTTGCTCTTGCTGCAAGTGTTGTGTCCTTTAATAGCATCAGGGGCCGTCCTGTTCTATGCATAAAGCTTGTTCTGCACACTTTCTCTGGCATAACATGGGCAGAAATGTGCTTGAAATAAATAGGACCAGATGTTTGTCATGAGGGGGAAGGAAGTAGAAAACAGAATTGGAAACAACAAAACATTTCTGACTCTCAATGACCCCATTATTCATAGAATATTTGTATCAAGTGGGTCAGGTGGAGTTCATCCACATCTCCGACTGGATCCTAATCAACCTCGAGTTCCAGTCTAAAGCCCAAATGACGGAGCTCAGCTTCCACTGACCGCTCCAGCGCCATCTCATTTTCTGCCAAATCCCCATCGGAGTAGAGGGGAATCAAAGAGAGCCGGAAAGTCGGGAAAGAATGGGATTTGATGCGGCAGTGAGTCGTACTGTGGGAACACACAGTTGGATGGAAATTGTAAAAATAATAGTTGTTCCCTCCAGGGTGCTTAATGGAGCTCATCTGGGAAGGAATGCACAGAGAACAGACGGGTTATTACAAATGGGGAGAGATTCTAGGTTAATGCCTAGTGGATTTATGGTTTATTTCCTGTCTATTTAAAATAACTGTCAAACTTATCAAGTTGCAACTTCTTTAAAATAAGGATATCCAATCTTTTCCATCCTATTTCTATTGAAGCTACTGGTCACTCTATCCTAGTCTTCCTCTCTCACCGTCTCCTCTTTGTTTTTGCAGTGAAGGGAGCATTCAGCTGGATTGTTTGGGTGGGATCCAGGACAAAATTACAGTTTGTGCCACGGACGACTCGTACCAGAAGGCCAGGGAAAACATGGCCCAGGTCGAGGAGGAGACTCGCAGTCGGAGTGCCATCGTCATCAAGCTCGGGGGGAGATACGTAGGTGAGGAAAACCGGCACAGATGCAAGCAGACCACCTGACTATCACTCCTAGTAGTATATTAAACTCACTTCTTCATTTGCTTAATCAGGAGGAGGTATTTCCCAGTGGTGGAAGAAGTATTCAGATCTTATATTAAAATAAAAGTAATGAAACCACAGTGACGACATACTCTGTTGCAAGTCAGAGTCCTGCATTCAAAAAATGTGTACCTAAGGAAAAGTACAAAATCTAAAAGTACTCATTATCCAAAGTGGCAATTTTATGGAATAATATGTTAAATCGCTCGATGATGATTAGTGAGCATTAATGTGTTCATGATTTAATTTTTACAGCTAGCAAAGGATGAGATAACATTAATATCTTATTATACTGCCATTTACCTCCATCCATAATGGCATATCATAATGTATTGTAAATCATAATGTCCAAATAAATGTAAAACATTTAAGATTTGCTTCCAATATGTTGTAGATTAGAAGTTTAAAGTAACATGGGAAACTCAAGTAAAGTACATTTACCTCAAATGTCTTGAATACAGTACTTAGTTACTTTCCACCAATGTTATTTCCATTTAAACTCCATAAAGTTTTAGGGAGTTGACAGACAAGAATAGAGTAGAAGAATATCCGAACCGTGCGAAAAGTCAAATAGCTCATGTGTTTGTGTAGCCTTTCTCTGCTGGTGAATGGGTTCATGTTGCAGCAGACGGGCAGTTTGAGTCTGGGGCCCAATGGCGGAGGGCCAGAATGCCTCATCTGTAACCAGGACTTTATTGAATTTGATGGTGGTTTGCTTTCTAAATGCTCAAGCAGCTAATGTGCCACATGCACACTGATCCTCTTTCTCCCCAACCCCGTGATTGTAATTTTAAACATGCAGAGTTTCTGACTTCTTGTTTTGGTCTCGGACCTGCGCCATAAAACAAACCGTGCTGCAGCAGCAGTAGCAAACCACAGCAGCACTGCCTCATTGCCTGCAAAGAAAGAAATCCAGTGTTAGCCTATTCACTGTTCAGCAGTGAGTCAACAAAAGTCTAGTCCCTGTGTGCTGTGGAGCCAAACGCTGTTTCAGGCTCAGAAGAAGGCAACACAATATTAAGTCTAAATCACCTGAAAAAGGTCTCCGTGGGATAAGGTGATAAAAGCTGATGTGTATAATGGAAGGTGAGTACGGGGGACGTGGCAGCACTAAAGATCAGTGCCTGATGCATCTTATCTGAGTCATCTGCAAGTTCCCGAAGCCATTATAAGTCACTGAGATAAAAGATGTTGACAGAAATATATTTCTTGCTGTGATTTTTGTTATTTTCTGTTCTTATGAAAACAAGCAGGCATTGGCTGCCAGCCCACAAGTCACTCGGGTCCTCTGCCACCAGCACTTTTGTTTCAGTGCTAGATTGAAGTACTAAATGACTCCTGCCATTTATACTCAGAATAATGCAAGTCCTAAAAAAGTAGTTGAGATAAATTCAACTTTTCTAATGCTCCTACTTCCCTTCTGTAACTCCTGCACTCTTAAGGTAAAAAGGTTCAGATCCGGAAACCGGCACCTGGCCTCTCAGACGTCGCCCCGCTGCGGAGGACGTCTCGGCCCGTCATCATCTCGAGCAGCACGCTGAAGAAGGGCACGCCTCAGCACAGGCCGCTCAGAGAGCGCCTCACACACCTGCTGGCCCTCAAGCCTTACAAGAAGGCTGAGCTGATCCTGAGGTTGCAGAAAGACGGCCTCTTGCCATTAGACAAGGACTCCCTGGATAGCTACCTGCAACAGGTTAAACAAACACATTTATTGCCTCTGTTTCCTCTCAGAAACTGAGGAGTAGACTCACGATTCCATCTTTCTGCTCTCCCAGGTGGCGATTCTGAATGGGAAGGACAACACCTTCACATTGAAGGACAATTTGTATAAGGACCTCCAGATGGACTGGCCAGGCTACACTGAAGGAGACCAGCAGCTTCTCAAGAGAATCCTGGTTAAGTAAGTCAGAGATGTGGATCACTCGCTTTAAACGCATGTGTTACCCTCGTGATGATTCTCATCAGCCGTATATCAGTCAAGATTATATCAATCACATCAGAAGTTTAATTTTATGAATTGTTGCTTTGTAAAACCTAAAATAGTTGGATAAACACTAAAAACCCTTTTACCGAGATTCAGATGGCAGAATTTCTTTTTTGTAAAATTGATCTCAATTTATTTTTGATAGGCATTTTAAAAATGTCTTAAATCTAACTTGCCTTATGCTGTATGAACCCTGAGTAGAGTTCAGTATTGTGACACAGCAAAGCACCTTGTGTTATTGTTTGTGGTTACTCTGTGGAGAACGCTAGGCTGCAGGGTGAGTGCTTCTGGTATGTTGGGACTATAGAGCTGCCAAGCTTTGTAGATAAACTTATTTTCTGTCTGAGGTTTAATTCTGTATTCTGTACACTTGAAATGGATGTGAAAAACCCACCTTTTCTATTACAACGGCCGGTGTGTCCCAAGGAAGTTTTCTGTTTGTTCTACTGAGGACCGTGTTGTATTTGTTGACAGCGTGAGCTACTGGCCTTCTTCCTAGTGGAAAAAATGTGGTTTCTCAGGATCTGGGACACCAAGGGAAGGCAATCTTCCTGCTAACTATTTATAGAGCAGGCAGGCAGGCAGCAGTGCTCCGGAGCTCAGTTTGTGTTGACGTCAGACTCAAGAATAGCCCCTATTCACCATAATCAGCTCAGTTTTACCTGTGGTGCAACTTTAAATGCAGCGTCAAGAGTGTCAACACTGAGTGACCAGCAGAATGTAAACCCTTAATGCAATAATCCTGCAACATATACTACTTTATAAAACGTAGCTGATATGTCCAGCTTTTGTTGAGACTGCTGCTGACATAGTTGTATGTTTTGTATTGGGCTGTTGAAAGGTGTTTTTGTCCACCAAATCTACATAAATGGAGAGCAAAAACGACCTGGCAATATAATAAATGTAACGACACAATCTAGCCTTTTCAAAGTGGCATTAAAAGTGAAAGATGAAATAAACTTTTACAATGTTAGTTTTTATTAGTTCTACATTTCTTTAATTCCAGTGTATGTATTTAGTTTGTAAAGGCATGAATACTTCCCGTGTCCCTGTTTTAACCGTACTTTGAGCTCCGTTTGTGAGTTAATCAGCTGACTAACAGCCACAGCCTTCAAACTAATGCCACCCCCATGTCCTCCAGAGTTTTGAGCTAATGCAGGCAGTCACGCAGGAGTAGCACAGCAACACGATAGGAACGCACATGATGCAACAGTGTTCCAGCACATGCTGATCCGTGCGTGAGATGGCTGCCGGCCAAGGTTCAGCCATATCGGTCAGCGTGCTGTTTCACTCGTAGCTCCTGCCTCTCTATCTGCCTGTCCCCAACACACACACACACAAACACACACACCCTGATTGAACTAGGGTGGGGCATTGACAAGACTCGCTGTTCCCAACTGCTCCCTTCTGATGCAGTTGTCAGTTGTCAGCTGTGACAGTGGCGTGTCTGCGTGTGCAAAGTGCTCTTCTACATGTCAAGTTATGACAGCCTGTTTGTAGAATTTATTTGTACTTTAAACCAGAGTGTGTTTGAGCAAGTATACTGCGCTCTAGCTGTAGTGGTGGAATTGGCCGTGCTGGAGAAAGAGTGTTGATATTTAAATTACTCGGGGCTGTCAGGACATCAGATTTTCACAGCAGGATTTCACGGTTAAAAGAACTCATGATGACCATGTTTTCATGATGTTTCCTGGAAAATCTGAAAATACAAAATCTTAAAATACAATGCTATCAGTTAAATCAATCTTCAAGTGTATTTATTGTTCGTTTTGGGTCTTTTAATGGCAAATAAATTACTACATAATACAAGTATAGGGAGTTGGAGAAAGATTCTGTTACTATGCAAAAGTGTATATTAAAAAGGCAACCAAATGAACTGATTAAATCAACTAATGATAATATATAAAAGCTTTATTTGTATAGCACTTTCCATACAGTAGGTGCTGCTGAAAGTGCTTTAACAAAATAGCACACATCACAAATTAAAAGACAGCAATTGATTCAAGTCAGGTCAGAAGTTTAAACCTTTTTGCATAGATGCTGAATATCATGATAATATAACAATTCAAGGAACAAAAGGAGATAAAAACGGTATTCAAAAAAAGTCCACGACCACAACCCTCTCAGTCAAACGAAGGAAGACTTAAGATAAAATGAATAAACCATGCCTAACATCTGCCAATATGATATTATTATGAATTATATCAACATTATGTGTATAATAAAAATGTTTTAAAAGTATTGTGGTCAATATCATTATAACCGGTATATTGCAACAGCCGGAACTCCCTGAATTAAATAAAAGTAAATTGGATTAGACTGCATTTGTTCAAACAAGACTGGATCCACGTGTAGCTTTGTCTTGCCCTAGTTCGGTAGGCACCTTTTGTCTTGGTTAAAAGGCTTTTTATTTGGCACTGCTCTCTTGTTTTGACACTCCTACTGTGTGCCACATTAATCTGATACATAATGAGGTCTGAGTTCAGTGCATCATAATCAATCTGGGGCTCTGTTGTTCACACCTGACACTAAGATGGTTTTTGGCTCTAAGTACTTTATAGAGTTAAGTTGTCTGTATGAAAGACAGTAGTGCAGTGTGTCCCTGCTCCTTTCAAATGTCCATGTTGCATAGAGTGCATATTGCTTGATAAAACTCTCAAACATCTATACCCAAAATGAGCTGCAGCACCATATTCTGTCTCTCTCGCTTTCTCTCTCACTAAACAGTGTCACGCTGCTTTCTCACTCATCCTGAACTAGCAGCCAAAATTGTTCAACCATTAATAAACACGCAGCATTTGTCTGTGAGGTTACACATATTCCTCTGTAGAGAAGAAAGGAAGATTTGGACTCATAAACTGGTATAGAGCTTGCAAACAGATTGAATGATTGTCCATTTTTCAACATCAAGGTTGCGGTTATGACCAAGTGCTGCTTTTGTCAAGTAGGCCCTCATTTGCTCTGTTGTCATAGCTACCCAACTGTTGTAACTTGTTTTTAATGTCCTCATGCGTCTGTAGAATTAGTGACTGAGGAAATGGTAGCCACACAGTTTGTTTTCAAGCACATAAAGAGGACATATTATGCTCAGTTTCAGGTTCATATTTGTCATTTTTTGTCTGCTGTGACTGCTCTGATTGGTAAGCTGGGCAGCTCTGTTGTGATTGCACAACCACTTACAGATGTCCTGCCCTTTAGCCTATCATGTACAATGTGCTGGAGTGGATAGAAATGCCATGTCACCTCAACATCTAGATAGATAAATGAGTGTTCCTGTAGTGCTTGTATGCAGGTGGATATATAGAATATTCAGAAATGATATCAAGTTTTCTGTGTGTGCGTTTGTCGTCATTCATACTTTCATGTGTTCACACTCTCTTATAGGAAACAGAACCAGCCCCCCCCTGTGGAGAGCCCGCCCAAAGAGCTGGCCGGCAATTCGCCATCTCAGGTGAGCTTCCCGTTTCCTCGTCTCTCACTTCCTCACACTTCCTAATCCCTAATCTACTGTAGCACTCTCACGTTCCCAGTGGGCTAGTGATGGATAATATTGTAACTGCATAAAACAATTTCAAGCTAAAAACCAAATAATCGTTTTGCAATACCGGTTTTTATTGTAAAATAATATTAGTTTATAGGCTGTTAAATACTGAGCTCTCAAGCAGCTTGATGTTAATTCAGTAGAGTGTAAATACGCTCTGCATAGCTCATCTTTAACCAGAGCTTGTTTGCCTGCGACTTTTCTGGCTGATCCAATGCAAATGTAAAGGGGAATCGGGGACAAAGATGCGTCTCAAATTATTTATTTATTTATTTTACATTTACCCCAGGTTACCTACATTCTGGTTTACTGGGTCGTGCCTGCAGTCTTTTAGCTTCTGGTATTTCCCAGGGAGGATTCTTCTAAATTCTCTTGCTCCCTCCAAACTCTGAGTTGTGTGTTTTGTGTTTCCTCCCTGTCTTTCCAGTGGATTTCCTTGCGGAGTATGTTTTCTAAACTGGATCCAGTTCCAGTTTTACACACTTATGGGCTATTCAATATACATTGTTTGTATAAGAACTAAATCAAGTTGCTTCCATATTTAACATCATTTGACTGAAGCTCTTTTACCCCCTCCTCGTTGCATAATTCATTTTTCATTTACCTTGTCCTGCTGCTCTCTTTTTAAGGTCATTCGTGACTCCAGAGTTTAGCCATTGTTTACACTTCCATTAGGTAGGAGGAGGAGCCGCTCTGTTTATATTAATAGCTCCTTCCTCTCAGGTTCTTCTCACCTCAGACAACTAGTGTACGGCCCTTCCTTTCCGCTCCCTCCCTCAGTAAACACTGTGCACAAACACACAAGCAAACAGTACCCCCGGTTCTCGTTTAGAATTATTTGTATAAAAAGAGAGCAGCGCAGCAGGTAAAGCTGTTTGTAAAACGTCAGATATGTGAGGGATGGAGAGCTGCAATGCAAACAGAGGACGTCCACACAAACACAGATAAATGCGTAAATAATTTCCACCCCCGCTGGCACTTTCAAAAAGTTTTACATTCACTCTGAAATACAGAAACGAAGACCAAAACTCTGCGTCTTGATCTACTGTTAGTGGAAGATGTGTTTATCACAGCCATCTTATCAATTTAACTTTTCTCCGAATACTGATGTATAGCCCCTATCTGCATCCATGAAAATATACACAAGCATTAGAGCCATGTTTTCCCTGTCCAAACTACAACCTCACAGCCATTCCTCCACATTTCAGTGTCTTCAGGTTTCAGTTTTTTGGGTGTCAAAAGATTATAAAGTGAGAATTAAAGGTAGGATAGGTAAGAATGGAGAAACCAGCTCGAGTGCGCTAGAATTTTTTTAAAGTACGCAGCCGAAAAAAATCTGCCCCTTCCTTCAGACTTCCTTACAGAGCCCCTCCTCCAACACACACGGACGCGCACATGACCAATGAGGGCACGAGATAAGTTTGTGCACGAGATGGAAGGCTGACAGGCAGGTAGGCCATCCAGTTATTTTAGCCGGGCCGGCTCAGATGATTGGTCGTGCTTTTTACAGCGCCACGGCTTCCACAGATGACATTTTATTATGTATTTATTGTCAAAGCATTTAATTTATTCATTGCTATCGGGATGTTAAGAGCATTCCATGGAATATAACAAAAAGTGTTTCTGAAGTGAATTACCTACCCCACCTTTAACCTTAATAGCTTATTGTAAAAAGAGTCTTATTGGAATCCTCCCCGTTTGCCATTACTGTTGTTGTTACAGCACCCTAAAGTAGTCGTGGTGGGTCGGCCACTCCCAGAGACTTTAGTTAGGCTGGGTCAAACAGAGCCCGTCTGTGCTGCCTTTCACAATACCAGGGATTATATGACAGTCATTATATTCTCAGTGCTGCTGTGAATACAGATCACCTTTCTTTATACTCTTTCTGCTTCCTCCATCTGTCTGCGTGTACTAGATACTCTCCTCTGTCTTCACACTTCCTTTTGACCTCCTCTGATCGGAACATTTTATTATCACGGACTGTGCTTTACCTGCTGCTCACTCTGAGTTGAATAGAAAAGGGCTGCACAATGAATCGACATTTTAGCGTAATAGGCAATATGCTGTAATACTAAAATCACAGGAAGAAAAAAATCTCTTTAAGCCTAAATAATGTTTAAAAATTATAATGAATAATTGTGGAGCTGCAGAGATGGTTTGTAGAATTTTGTATTGCTTTATACATATCTGCCTAGCTCAATCAATGACAATAACAAACATTTGTTGTAATATTGTTAATTTTTAACTAATAACTCAATGTATAAATACATGTAGTAGAGCAAAAGGTACAACATATGTATCCTGGCCTACAAATTATATTCTACAAACTTTATAAAACAAATGTGTTGGTGCAGATCCTCTTAAAAAAATCACACCTAAGATATTTATCAATGATAAGAAAAAAATGTATATGTTGGAGGGATTGATTATTTTGAATCATATTGCAGTATCAGTTAAAATATTCAAAATTAGATATTTTTTCTAAAATGTGCAGCCATATAATTGAACTCCTATTGAACCATATGTAAGGGTTCAGCTACTTAAACTGTTATTTCTCCGACAGAAACGGCCAGCTGCTGACTTCACCGACCCTCTTGCCAACAAGAAGCCCAGAATATCCCACCTGGCCAGCAAGGCTGCAACAGCCCCAGTGAACGGCAAACTCGGCTCCTCCAACGGGAGAGTGGAGACGGGCAACGGGAGAGTGGAGACGGGCAACGGGAGAGTGGAGACGGGCAACGGGAGAGTGGAGACGGGCAACGGGAGAGTGGAGACGGGCAACGGGAGAGTGGAGACGGGCAACGGGAGAGTGGAGACGGGCAACGGGAGAGTGGAGACGGGCAACGGGAGAGTGGAGACGGGGAGAGTGGAGACGGGGAGAGTGGAGACGGGTGCAGCGCCGGCAGCAGTGGCGGTTTCCATGGCGGACAGCGGCATGACGTCCAGCTCCCAGCAGCTCCCGGTGCTGGACATCCCTCGGCCTTTCGAAGCACTGTCAGATGTCAGCAACGACTCCAGCCACAACGGGAGAGACTGCGACTCTCAGGAGACCGCCGTGTCCGAGAGGCTCAGCCAACCGCCGCCTTCGCTGTTCACGGCCTCAACAACGCTCACGGCGCCCAGCATCGTCACATCATCTCCGGGACACACGGGCCCGGATGTCCCCCGGGACAAGAGTCCTTCAACCTTTGTCAACAAGTCCAAGAAGAAGTCAAAAAAACATAAAGACAAGGAAAAGAGCAAAGACAAGGAAAGGGTGAGAGAAAAGGGGAAGGAGAAGAAGAGTCGTGGGGAGCGAGTGCAGCTAGTGCCTGAGCCGAAACCTGCCTGTGACATGAGCCCAGCAAACCTCAAAAGCAACAGTATTCCACACAAAAGCACAGGTGGGAGCAACACACACACACACACACCTCCACCTTCTCTACCAAATTCAGTTTCACAGCAAGAGATTTCTGAATAAAAAGTACTACTTTGTATGTGGATGAACAACACTTAGTCATCACTGTGAGTAGGTGATGTGTCATGTGACCAGTATGTGACTCACTGATTAAACGGAGACCCCTGCTGTTCATCTTTATGCCTTCAATAACCCCAAATACACTCCTGTGAATCCAACTGGAAGCTTACATCTTTAGAGGATATTGTTGTAAACAATAACAATAAAAACCATAATTATCTTTTTGCAGGGTAGCTTTTCCACGGCAGATTTCACACAGACGCGACTTATTCAGATGAATGCCCTTTTATAACGAAGTGTCTTTGTTTCAGATCTGAATGGGATGTGCAACAGTACCAGTATTCCTACGTCATCACCTGAGGTGCCAGACTATTTATCGTGAGTATTTAACGCAGTTGTTTTCATTTTGACAGTTTTAGTCTTTTGAAGTTAATGAATTGTTTGATTGTTTTGTGTCGGTACCTCTCATAAAGTCTCCCCTCTGAAATAATACATTGCGAACCCAACTTCTTTTGGAAATAAATATTGCCACAAACCTTTACAGAGAGGCAAAACACAACTTGAAATGGGACCTAATTAGCTCTGACGAAGGGTGGGATTATATGGATTAATAAATATGTCCTGCATGACATGTGGGTTTTTGGTTATTGGGTTTATTGGACAGCCAACCTAGTTATTTGAAATGTTGAAGGGATCCTAAAGCTTTTTTTATTTGTTTTTGTGTGTGCGAGCTAGTATCGTCATGTCCTTAATCTGTATCTCTTGCTTGTCTCCCTCTAATAACCGTTATTTCTCTCTCTTGAGCTTTCATGTAACTGGATAGCTCCTCCCTAAATCTCTCAATTATTTCCCTCCTAGGAAGTACATGGTGATCGGCTCTCCGGAGCAGCGTCAGAAGTATAAAACCGATTTCAACGCCGAGTACAGCGAGTACCGGGGTCTGCACGCTCGGATAGAAGGCATCACCAGGCAGTTCACGGTGCTCGACAACGAGCTCAAACAACTCAACCAAGGCACAGACAAGTACAAGGTACATCCCCTACGCAATGTCATTTTTAGCACTACAACGATCCACCAATCAGTTTTATTCTTACCCTTTATTCTGTGTGTGTTTTCTCTCTCTACAGACAATCCACAATCAGATACTTCAAGAGTATCATAAAATAAAAAAGGTAAGATTAAGTCCGGCTATAACATATTTCTGTTTTAAAAGTGCGTAAATAGATGATCAGATTGTGACTGTTTCTCATGTCCCCTGCAGACTAATCCAAACTATAGCCAAGAGAAGAACCGCTGTGAATATCTACACAACAAACTGGCACATATAAAGAGACTTATTGCCGAGTACGATCAACAGCAGCTTTAGAAGTAGTTATTGCACAGTGTTTACCTGTTGTCTCTGGAAACCACGCAGATAAAGGAAAGCTCTGGACTAAAAAAAGTGTTCTCATGAAAGATGCCATGAAAGGAGTATTCCCCTCATTGGGGCCAAAGGCTCTAATGAGGAATAAGCAGGACACACAATCTTTTTCTCTCTTTAATTTTATTATTTTTGTTTATTTTTTGGAAGATGGGGTTGTGCCTAGTGTGGCCAGGTCCGTCTGTGTAGTTACAATGCATTCAGAAAAAAAAGTTCTGTGTGGCTTTGTTTTTCTCAACAGCCCACCCTGAGGTCTGAACGAGACAAACGTGGAAACTTTCCCACTTTCTCGGGAGAAAATCCCCCAAAATCTTTCCTGCTTTTGAAACTGGAGGGAAGAAGGGGGGGGGGGGCAGACTGTATGCCAAATGCAACTAATTTGTTTTTGAGTAATGAAATGATACATCAGTTTCCCCCATATCGAATGGTTATGACGTTGGAGTCTCCGTTTTTGTTTTATTTTTATTTATTTTTGACACTTAAATTGGGGGGGGGAACGAATTTTACACTCCTTCATATCAGTACTTAAAAGCTGTCTTTTCTTTTCTGTCCTCACATCTTGAATGTCCGCCAGTATTTTATTCAGAAGCTGCCTTGCTCATCTAATTGTCAAATCTGTTGGCGTTTAATATATGATTTCTCTTTTAAAGAGATGCAGATATACCTTTTTGATTAAATCAAGCATCCAAATGCACACAGTCGGACGCCTGTTTGTGCACTCGGCTTTTCTTTTCTAAAATATTGTGCAGATGTCTTAACAGAGGGGACATGTGAGAAAGTGTCCCGTCACTCTTTAGCGGTTTCCTTCTCCGAACACTGTCCTCCTCACTCAGTCGTTACAAGCTGCAGTGCTTGTTCATCGGTTACTACAGCGGTCGTTAGTAATGGTTCATCATAATGCATCAATGGAAAACTATAATCAGCTCTTAATTGGTTGTCTTTCCACTTTAGGTCATGATGGCTTTTGTAGCAATATGAATTATCCGAAGAGTTTATCGCCAGGCCTACTCTTCATCATGCTTCAGAAGATCCTCGAATTGTAAGATGATGCAGACAGGGGAGGCTTTTTTCTTTTCATCTTTAAAAAGTGGTTTATATCCACAGATTTGATTTATTTCCTAAGTTAGCATTATTGTCCCCTTTTAGTTATGTTGAAATGGTGTTTACAGTTTCTTTAAAAAGATCAGAATTTTGGTTTTGTCTGCTCATCGGCCCATGTGATAGTCCATCGAGACGACTGTTAAGATGAAGCCATCCTCAATCATCTTCCGGGGGGTGGGGCGTACGCTCACCTGCGACCAGTTTTTGCCTTTTTCAAATGTGATGTCAGATTTTCACGGACCTGAAATCTATTTCCTGGATAAGCTCTAAGAAATGCCGCGTCAAGACGTATCCACTCGGCGTTTCCGAAAGAAAAATTAGACCTGCTGTATCAGAACTTCCCCTGATGAGTCGAGTTTGGTCAGCGAGTGCATTTCTGATATCGATCTTTTTATGTGAATATGAAAAATCTGCACTTTTCTCCTGATCTTGCTGTTACCTGGGGGTTTTGTCCAAATGACACTTTTCTCTTTGTCCATCAGAGTGCATGCTTTATGAATGTGTTACAATGAACAAGTCTTTGTATCTTTACTTGAAGAAGAAAAAAATAACTGCCCAAGGATATCGAAAGCCAAGCAAAGGCCTAGCCCAACTGAATTCAGTTTGTAATCAATTCGACGTGGCTCTGACCAGCATGTATACCAAAGTGCTTACCGGGTGGGATGAAACAAACGCTCTACCAAATGTTGGCAAAGGAACATGTCGCAGTATTCTCAACTTCCTGTTATCATTTCAATTTTCATCATTTATCACCCAGTGGACTTTTTCCTCAGTGTTTTTCTTGTGAGAAGTCAGAGGAGGCTCCTTTGCTTCTGATGAGATTTGCATGACTGTACGGCAGGTTTCAGATTATATCGCTCTCCTTTTGCAAACACTACATTTAGGCCAATGCTCCGAGACTCATCACAACGATGCTGCTGAGTCTGGATCTGGGACTTAGTGTATCTGGAAAGGCGTTAAGTTTGTAAAGGGGAATGTCTTGTTACCAGATGTATCATCGCCCAGTATGGCAGTACAGACACTTTCCACCTCTCTTACTGTATCTTTTCTTCTGTTACGGTCAAAATCCATTGTGAATGAGTTCATCAGTAAAAAAACGTTTTGCACCACAGCAAACTGTTTAAGAGTAACGATATGCCAGCACAGGAGTACCGTTGTATGAGTTGATTGTGCCAAAATGACCTGTTGTATAGGTTTTTTTTCTTTTCTTTTTCTTTGAGTATATACATGCTGCTGTATAAGCAACGAGGGCTTTGGAGAAGAGTCGTGAAATGTTGGCGCTAAAACCCAAAGCACGCCTTTTTGAAAAACCATAAGGGACTGGGACTGAAATTGATCTTTGTTTCAATAAAAATTCTTTAAAATCCTTATTTGTGAAATTCTGAACCAGTTGTTGCTGTCAATTATTATTACAAGGTTACATTTTATTAGAAGTGGTAGACTTTGGTTGTTTTAAGTTTTTATTTTTATTTTTTATTAATCTTATATATTTTTTTAATGGAGAATATTTATCGTCTTGAACATGGATAGCAATACCGTGAATGTAAATGACACGGGTGTTTTGTCGTTTTTTTGTAGGAGGAAAAGACCAAATGTAACACTTTTACTTTGGAGAGTACATAGATCAGCTTATTTCAGCCCTAAAACCATTTTCTAAAACAAAGTAAGATGGAGTCTGGTTTCTCCTTTCCATAAAACTATTAAAAATAAATAAACTCAGTATTTGATTTATAATTTTTTACTCTTTTCTCACTCTGAATAGTCTTCTAACATTTGTTTAGAATTACTGCAGCCTGTATTGAAAAGGCTGTCCTGTAGATGGCAGCAGTGTCACACGTTTAGTCCCAAATGCCTCCACATGGTGCAGGGACACTTTGTTTTTGTTCCAAAAAAGAGACATTCACTAGAAACCTTTGGATCACTCTGCTATCCTCAGTTTGCATTGTTTAACCTGAGAGTTAACGTGTAACAAAGTGTCAGCGCCAGCCTCTAGAATCTATTTTACTCCAAGGAAATGATGGAAAATGTTTAGTTGTCCCACTCCTTTGACTATTTATGGTAATTGGGCAGTATTCTGTACGTGTTCCTAGTGACCATCCGGTTATAACCCATGACTGCATGCTGTTTTACTGCCAAGTCTGTCCCTTGCACCGAAATGCAGATTCCACAAAAGGCCCTCAGCATGTGAGTGTGAGCAGAAGACCTGCAGCGGTGCGAAGGAGAGGACAGTGCTGCTGTAATCTGACACACTGTGAACAATCCCAGAAATCTACATAGCGACTGCGCTCCACTTGGCCCTGCTTCGCCTCGCTGTGCTGCTACTGGCTGCCGTCCTAATGCTGGCCTCAGTGCTGCTCAGGGAGCTGGAGAGGGGGGGGGGGGTCCCAGGTCAGAGGGTTCATTGTGGTAGGCTGCCACCTCCCCTCAACATACAGCAGTGCATACATGTGTACACACATTGAAAAGAAACTGAGCTCTCCTCCCCGTCAGTGTTTCCAAGGTTTTACTTTGATTTTATTTGTCTGGGCTTTCAATTTAGATTGTATGCTAACAGAGCGGGTTGGAGCTCTAATGGTGAAATGTAGGCCACGGTTGAAACAAAGGTCAGTCAATTATCCGAGGTAATTGGTTTGTGAATTGGACATGAGGGTATTTCATAATACATTCTAAAATGGTTCATTTGTCTATATATGTAACCTGCACATTGTACATCCAAAAGACAGAAAAGAACTCTCACTGGCATCCAAATATATCTGACTCCCATCAACTAATTTGTTGACATAAAATATGTAGTCCAAAACAGTCTTATATAGTCCGAATTAATACAGATCAGTTAATTTAAAATTAAATTGCGTGTTAATGTGATTTCTTCAACATTAAAAACGAATCAACTTTATCATATAATACAGAACGACATACATGTACAGTTTTTTTTGCCTCTGTTTAGACATTTCAGCGATAGGAGTGACTGTTGTTTTTGTTACTCTGCCTCCTGTAGCATCCTCTGATTTTGATTAATTGTGTGCTCATGCTGCAGAGAATTGAACACACAACAGCAGTCGTGCACACTACTGTCCACAGACCTGTGTGCCGGTGAGGGTTCAAAGCACAGAGCAATAACCAGTTCTGCTGATTTACAGCCAAACAGCTGCAGACACTTTTTGTCATTTTAAGTGCTGGGAAGGAAAAGTTCAAATCAATCTCAGTTCCCCCTTTCTTTATCTTGTTATTGCCTGTGTTCCTACAGTCCTCAAAATAAACATGTAACCAATCAAATCGCTATTTTTACCTTATGTAAATGTCTCTTCTTGAATACTTCCTTGTGCAGTGTTTGTGTTACTTAAAGGGGACCTATCATGCAAAATGCACTTTTGTTCGTCTTTTATACATGAATATGTGTCCCCGGTGTTCCAGGGAACTCACCAAGTGTCAGAAAACACAACCCTCTCTATTTTCCTCCATACCCAAATCTCTAAAAAAGGGGCTGCAACGGATCTGATAAAAACTGATCCAGATTTGAACACTGTCCTGACGTCAGGACGGTGGCGCTACGGCTATTGGGCCAACTCCACCAATCAGCAGGAGACAACCACGGCCATTGCCGTTCGAAAGCGCTGGAGACGCTGTAGTACATATGCCAGGCCTGTAAGTGGCGCTGTAGTCTGCCACAAAAGCAGTGAAGAAGACTTGGTTACCATGGTTACCCTTCTGTTTATTCTCCGCTGTGGCTTTCTTTCTCCCTCCCCGAGGCAAGCGTTTGCTCCCGCTGCAATGCAATCCCTCCCCGTCGAGGCAAGCACTGTAATTCTCTCCGGTTAGTCCACCAGCAGATGACAAACACCCACCTCTCCGCCTCTTCCAAGGAACGAGGGGACCGTGCGGCAGAGTTTCAGTTTGTTTTGCCGATCAAGATGTCCGTTAAAGTTTAAATCTTCCGGACAAAATTAGAAAAGTGCCGGTCAAAGGTCTTCTTTGTTATTTATTGAGCTTTAAAACAAATGAATAACGACTCTATATAATAAAACACGGAGGACGGAGATCTCTTTTTCTCCCCCTCTTCTGACAGCCCAGCAGCTGTTCAGAGCACGGCTCCCCTCTCCTGCAGGGGGGTGTGGTCAGCAGAATCAGACCCGTAGACAGCAAACGGCACATAAAGCGAAATGAGGCATGGCTAAAATGCATGATCTGTTTGGTATTTTGAGAAATGTATAAATATACCTTATATAGGTATGGCCCTTGACGATGCTTCAGCTTCATATTAATGCTAAGAACTAAGAAAAGTGTCATTTTAAAGAGGATTGATTCCCCTCACCGCTGATCTTGTTGTATACACTATATTCTCTTCTGATTACATTGGCAATCAGAAACACACAAAGGTGCAGAGCAGAGTCAAATTACAATTTAAGGATGTTGTTTCCTTAAAGTTTAATGCATCTTTGATATTTAATAAAAAATATCTTGGTAATGAGCCATTTTGTAGCAGTGCTGGTCGAGTTAAATGCAATTTGTATGAATATTATCTAAACTACAACTTTGAGGCTGAGGGGAATATTCTTTTGATTTTGTTTTGCACATGGAGAAGAAAATGCTGTTCAAGGGTTCAACCACACTGTACGACTCTTGAACAACAGATTTTTATACTTAGACAGTTGTCCTCATTTAGGACTCTGATCAGTCCAGGTCTATTGATCGTGATTCAGGTTCAACCAGCGTTATGCTTTTCGTTATCTTTCACTCTTTCTCTGTCTGTAAATATGTATCTGTATTAAAGGTCAGTTGCTGTCTGTGATGAAAGGTTTATTAGTTCTTAGTTAATGATTCAGCAACATTCATACTATTGATGAATGTTGTCAGTAGGGGCTTGGACTGCAAGCTGTAGGGTCGCCGGTTCAAGTCCCCGACCAGACCTAAAATATGGAGTGTGGACTGCTACTTGGAGAGGTCCCAGTTCACCTCCTGCCCTGCCGTGGTGCACTTGAGCAAGGCACCGGACACCCCCCTTCCCCCCTCACTCCCATTGCTCCCCGGGCGCTGTACAATAGCTACCCACTGCTCCTAGTACTAGACTCCTGGTACTAGGATGGGTTAAATGCAGAGAACAAATGTCACTGTGTGTGCTGTGTGCTCTGCATGTGTGACCATTAAAGAGGGTTTCATCCCTCCCAATTCTATTCTATTCAAACCAAACTTAGCAACATGTTCAGGTCTTTGAGCATGTGTGTTTTCAATCCACTTTCTAATTCTCATCGTTATTTGAGCTTCTTTAGTAATGGCAGTGGATGCATGGGATAATCTTCAAATCCTGTTCAAACCTACTACACTTCCACTGAAGTTATATTACATCTGTAGCACTTCATTTAGCATAACAACACTGTGAACTATTACAATCAGCTCTTTTAAATATTTACAGTTTTGAATCATTAAAGTTTTATTTATTTGTCTTTGTTCTCTTGGATTCATTATTAATTACGTGTATCATTGCATTTTGTGCTTTATTTTGTTCCAATGCAATGGGATTCAGCCCACTTCTTTTACATCCTCAACTCTTTAGGGAACTGCATTTCATTGTGTGATATTAATAGAACATCTTACTTTGGCAATATTTCAATTACCTTACTGTGTTTCCAGCAATGCATTCTTTAACTTTTGTTTTCTGCAATACTGTGCAATACATAAGAGCTTTAAGATGTTCAGGCAATTCAGACCAGAAATGCTTTGCAATTTGTTTTAGCTGTTAGCATCAAAATGCATCTTCTAGAGTGAATGCCTTATCTTGTTTACTTAAGTGCTCTGAGTTCAGTATTTACTACTATGTCTTGCTTTCAAAGAGAATGATGACAACTTGTATTAAAGTCCTAACCTAAACTCTCACTGATACACACAGAGCTGTAAGAGACTGTGCAGCCCATATTCAGTACTAACAGCTGATATTTTAAATTAGCTCACATCCAAGTGTAATCAACATTAATAAACTTGTGCATTTCATATAGACGTGCTAGTTCTAGGACCCAGGTGTTGAACTGACACACACTGCTGTCTGATGCGTGACCGAAGGTCTGCAATGAGCGAGGGAGGGACATTTAGATATTATATAACATGCAATGAGCAGATATTCTGCATATGTGTGTTGAATAGCCTAGTAAAAGCAGCTTTTAGCCAAAAATGTATGATTTTGACAATACATAAACCTTCTCAGACTATATCATGTGGCCTATAATTAAATTGTAATTTTCTGTTACATTTGTATTCTAGTAGCCTACCTTATGTGATTAAAACGTGCCTTTATAATAGCAGAAGTCCGCATTGGTCACAGTTTAATCTCATGATGAGCACTCTAAATGATGTTCAATAAAGTTTAAGGTACAGAAAGTTTATGAAAGGCTGATTAGTCTTGTTTAGATGTATTTCTTTATCAGAGCCATGTCCACCTGACATAGCCTATAATATATAACACATAATAAACATGAATTGCCTTTAATATAGCCTATAAAAACATACAGTTCAAACCCAATGCATACACAATTAAGTGGAATATTTATAAAAAATCGTTATATTAAAACAATGAACATTAGCTATATAAATTAACAAAACATAATAATCATTTCCTCAAGGCTTAAATGATAACTTGCGAAATTAAACACTAGTGTTATCGTCCAACTCAACATTATATCTACATTTAGCTGACAGAAAGTGATTTTAACGCCACCTGGTATCACGGTCTCAGTGACGTCGTGTCGTCTCTGCCCCCAGTCGCCCCCTGCCATATTTATTCATGCCGGGCAAGATGGCGGCGATACGGACGATGTGTTATTGCCAGTGGACGTAAACAGGCATTTTAATCCAAATACAACCCCTAGTCGGATACATTTATCCACTTGACCGTGTTGTGTGGGTGTTTACCTCGCAACCAGTGCCGGCGTCTTTTTTTTTATTTCACGCGTTTCCACGTTTCTTTCTTACAACATGTTCACGTTGTAGCTCGCTCGCTAAACGACCGGCTGGCTAACAGAGAGCAGTAGCTAGCTAGCTAACCACAGCCAAGCCGTGAAGTGGAGAATGGGAGAAAAGCTGGAGCTAAAGCTCAAATCGCCGGTTGGAGCCGAACCTGCTGGATATCCGTGGCCATTACCAGTATACGTAAGTGTTGAACCTCAAATCCATACAGGTTATATATTGAGATTTAGTGTCTGTTTCTCTGGGCTTTGTTAGCTAGCTCTTTGCTAACATTGGCTAGCTGAAGGGAGCCATGGCACGCTCGTCCGGGTAATCAGGTCATACTGGTCGGGAAGGTGACAGACATGAGGCAGCTCCCATGACTGATCAGCAGAGGTGGGAGAAGTACTCAGATCGTGTACTTGAGTGAAAGTAGAGTTTAAGAATGATCTGTCACAGGTAAAAGTACTACAATCAAAATGCTACTCAAGTAAAAGTACAAAAGTATCAGCATCAAAATAAACTTAAAGTAAAAGTACTCATTATGCAGATTGGCCCATTCTCTGATAATATATTTCATGTTTTGATTGTAATTATGGATGCATTCATGTTTTTATCAAAGATGGTCAAAGTTCAGCTATTTGTATTTACTGTGTGTGCTGCATGGTAGCATGTGAATGTTACTCCCACAAACTAAAGGTATTAATTGAATGTAGTGGAGTAAAAGTATACGATTTACCTGTGAACTGTTCTGTAGTAGAAGTACAAGGTAGCAAACAATAAAAGTACCTCAACATTGAACACACAGTAATGTGTCTCTGTTATGATCCGTCATGTTCATACTGAGACACCAGGTCATGTATTTTATTTGACATGTATATGGTGTACTTAGTCAGCATTACTTGCACAATGGTCTTGCAACATTATCTTGCACTGTTTTAAAACACAGTTTCAAATAGAGCATTAACAACATAAAGCCCTTTCGCAAAGTCTCAGTACTGTCATCTTTCAAGAGAAATAAACTGGGGCACATAAGCCCCACATAACATGGATATGCTAAAAACACATGTAAGTGTCAGTACATTAAAAGGTCATGCCTGTGTTCTCTGCACAGATCCTCCATTCTCACACCAGTAAACACACACACACACACACAGGACGCACACAGGACACACACACAGGACGCATAGCGAGATTTCTCACAGTATGTGCAGGCATGTGACTGGCATTCCTAAAGTGCTGTGTGTGTTTGTTTTTGTAATGTTATGGCATTCCTATGATTGAGACCAGCTGGTTGGGTTTTGTTTTTTGAGCTCTATACATTAGTGTGATCCCTGATCTGTCATTTCTGAAGTTACTCATTACAAACCATGCTTGCTGGTAGTTTTTTCCTTTAAAGTTGTATTTGATGTAAAATGCTGTCAGCATGTGAGTTTCTGGTTGCAGTTGACTCATTGAAGACAAACGGAAAGGGAAGCGGTTGTCTGTTCTGTGATCTTTTTAGTGTTGTATGGTTCACTTAAAATTGTGCTTTTCATTTATGGTAATTGTGGTGACACATACCGGTCTGACTGAGAGTAGCTGTAGCTGTCATATTTCTGAGAATGTCTGAGGGGGGTCTGTCTGAGCTCTTTCTCCACCCACACTGAACCCAGATAGACTGGCAGTCTTGTCATCTCGAGATATAGTTTGTTTTGTTGTTCATCACATCATGATCTGAATGAGTCTCAGAGTTCCTTGCTGATGTGATCAGCCGCTCCCCTCTGTTTGGCTGCTCGAGTTGACCCTCCCTTTTACACCAGGCCACAATCTGATATCACTTGCAGTTCTTCCCTCCTGGATTCACTGCCTCACCCATTTCCTTATGTTAAGCTCTTTAAGGACAAACACAGAAGCAGGCATGTCAGGAATGTATACAGTTACATCTAAGGTCCTGCTTGATAACTATTTATACTGGGACTTGCTGTATGTGGTGCATTGTATTAAAACAACTGATAGTCCTGCGTTTGGAGTCCTGCAATATGGAGCCTTATCATAGAGTGCTCTCCTCCTGTTTTCAAAGAGGAAAGACTTCCTCTCTCTTCCCCCTTCCTCTCATGTCCATATGGTCAACTCAACAGGGAGGAGGATAAGAGACTGCTTCGCTTTAGCAATGCTTTATTAATAGAATTCAAAGACGCATGGCAGTATTTGAGCTCAAATGTGTTTTTTTCACAGTTTTATACTTGTTTAAACTGCTTGCTGGTAACAACAGATCCCACTCCATGTATATGTATTCTTCCCTCCCACAGAGCATTAAGATTGCTTATCTCACCCACAGAGAATGAACACAGTGCTGTCAGTGTTGTGATGCACACAACATGGCCGTTGTACAGGCTGTTGCAATATAAGGCGTGCTCTTATTCTAATCCAGCTCCAAGAATGAAGCCCATAAAAGTACTCTTTCTTTCTTTAGCTCTGTGTTTCTTCGTGTCTCCCCATTTCTCACTAAATCCCCACATCTGTGCATCAGTAAATGCTTCCATATGAAGGACACTTCTGGTGTGCTGCGGCTCGTTGTCCATCTGGTTCTGGGTGTGAGCACTATCTAAGCCTATGTAACACTTAAAAAACACTCTGAGTTTAGAAACTGCTGAATGTCTTTGTTCGATCTCACCTGGGAAATGTAGCTTCTATTTACAAAGGCGTAATGACTGTCAAATGAATGTCAAAACCGTTCCTCCGTATGATTGTAATCATCAGATGCTACAATTGATTGTTTTAAGAATCTCTGCTTAAAGAGAGATAGATTAGTGTCTTGTTTTAGATTGTGATGTTGTGTGAGTTGTATTTCCTGGTTAGAGTAACAGGGTGGGAGTGGCACGCCTGCCTAGTCATTTGTTTTCGTAGGCTGCTCAGGGACACGTAGTGGAGCAGCACGTAGTGGAGCAGCACGTAGTGTAAAACCCCGTCGACCACAGTGCGTCACAGTGATGTTAGGAGAAATTGACTTAAAAGGTGATGTGGTAAGGAGTCGTCGTTCATGCGACGGTATAACCACATTGGAGAGAGAGGAAGGTCTCCTGTTCTTTATGTCTGACTTTCGCTTTCAGTCAGTGTTTATTTTTAGCTCCAGCCCTGCGCTGGTGTTGCTCTGTGCCGTCTTTGTTTGATCAGATGACACCCCCCCCCCCCCCCCCCCCGTCAGCTTCTCATTCGCTCGCTCACACAGTCTCTTTCATATACTCACACACCTTTTCCATATTTAGCCGAACACAAATATGCTGGAGAAGATTTGTAGGTCATGGTGCTTTTTAGGAACACAGCAAGCAGTTAGATTGATCATGTAGCTGTAGCCAAAACTGCTCTGTGCTGACAAAAATAGTAGATTTCCTTGTTGCCATGCATTTCTCAGAGTCTGCCCATGTATTTTTGAGCTTTGGCGGAAGTTTGCGTAGTGCTGGTGAGGGATATTGCGCGGGAAGCCGTGAGCTCCAGGCAGTTAGCTTTGGCTGCTGTACAGGCCTCAAACAGCTGACAAATAGACCTCCCCTCCTCTCTCCTGCGCCCTCACTTTCACCAGTTTGTTCCAGCTTTCTTCCTTTCACTTTCTTTCCCTTTCTACCCTCTGGTTTTTCCTCCTCTCGTACTTTCCCCTCTTTTCTGTTCCCTCTACCAGAGGCATGGCAGAAAGTGGGTCAGTGGGTCAGCTCAGGACACAGGCTCAGGCTGGCTGCGCTCTGCCTGTAACTCGATTCCTTTAACTCACACAGAGCTGCTCAGCACACTCTAACTTAGTTACTATAGCTACATAACCAGCACGGCCACTAGTAGACACACACACACACACACACACACACACACACACACACACACACACACACACAACACAGACTATAACACCCCTTGCTGTTAAATACCAACCAACTATGTGCTATTTGTGCAATATATATATATATATATATATATATATATATATATATATATATATATATATATATGCCGTTAATAACTGTAATATATACCTGGCTGCTAAATCCTAAGAACTGTTACAGGATGTGTATTTTGTAAATTGTGTAACTTTTTATTTTATTTTTTTTTTCTATTATAACTTTTTTTTAAATTTTAATACTTTTTATGCATGTAACATTAAGCTGTCTTTGGCTCTTTTTCTGCTGTAACAATGTAAATGTCCCCTCTGTGGGACTAATAAAGGTATTCTGATAGACTTCCTGCAGGAGATCAATGTAAATATTATCTTATTTTATTTAGATTTTTTTTCTTTCTAAAGTGCCATTATGAACCAGTCTCATTTAAAGGTGGGGTAGATAAGTTTGAGAAACCGGCTCGAGATCGCTAGAATTTGAAAATACACAACCGGAGAAAATCTGCCACTTCCTTATAGAGCCCCTCCTCCAACACACACGAACGCGCACATGACCAATGAGGGCACGAGATAAGTTTGTGCTCAGATGGAAGGCTGACAGGCAGGTAGGCCATCCAGTTATTTTAGCCGGGCCGGCTAAAATGATTGGTCGTGCTTTTTACAGTACTACGGCTTCCACAGATGACATTTTTTAATGGATTTTTTGTCAAAGCACTTAAGATATTCATTGCTATCGGGATGTTAAGAGCATTCCATGGAATATAACAAAAAGTGTATCTCGACCCGGTTTCTCAAACTTACCTACCCCACCTTTAAATCTAAGAAATGGTTTGGAATCTTCAGTTTGTGCTGAATCCTTAATCATTTCCCTTGGTTAGGTGTACTCCAACTTTTATAAAACTTTGAATTAAAAACACAGCATGCAGTTTTAACTTGAGATAAATGCTGTCTGTCAGGAGAGTCACATGGATTTTAGGCCGACAAGCATTAGGAGACAGACAAAGATTTATTATCTGGACCCCATGAATAATTATTTAGTAATGTGATTCCTAGAATTACAATATACAACTAAATTGCTTCATACATACTGAGTGCAATTTGGTGTTAAACGATGAGTTCCTGAGAAGTCTAAACAGCATTCAGGGACATTAGTGCTCATTGTTGTGTCTGAGAGATGTTACTGCCACAGGAGGATGAATCTGATGTAATAGTTGTGGTGGCCATGGCACTGTGTTAACAATAACCTGTAATTAAGTTATTTCAGTGGGCCTGTGTTTGTAATTATGCATACTTTACATTAGTTACATGATATGCATAGTAATTAGGGGTGTTGAAATGAATCGTTTCTAAGGACGTGGACGATTCTGCATCGATGCCATGACAGAACATAATCGATTATAGCGTAGTAACGTTGCTTCCTTGTTTTACGGCCGCGGCTTTACAATAACGTTTTTTCTGTCACTTTAATATCAAATCGGTCGGTGACGCAGAGATCAGGGAACAGACGTGACAGCGGCACAGCGACACCACACACGGAGCAGTCTGCTTTATGCACCAGCACAAGAACACCAGTCCAGAACCAACAGCAGAAGGACACGCTCAGAATCAGTCCGTGTCGCTGCGGCTCAGACACACAAGGATTTATGTTTTAAAAAAATACTCGCGTTACAATCATGTCAGGTTTTTGGTGGATTTAGTTAAGTCTTGGATTGCAGAGTATGAATGTCCTCTTGCTATTTTCAGACGATAAATACGTGTGTAAAGCATAGGTGTAAAGTTTGTGAAGGCAGGAGGAAAAAGCTTCCGCAATCACCGTCTCCTCTGTTCCTCCAAACCCCGCCCCTCCCTGAAAATAATGAGTGACAGGCTGATAGTAACCTGATAGAAACTTTATTCTTCACTTAATCACTGATTGAGATATGATGAAGCTAACTTAATCTCCTACAATCATGGGATTTATGTAACAGTAAGACAGAGAATAAGTGCACCCACATGCAGTATTTTAGTTTTTATAATGCTGTTGTAAATACTCCTGTTATCTGCTGTGTTCAGACTCAAGTCATGTTTGACATTCAGTGTCCTTTTTTTAACAGAAGACCGTTGCTAGACTGCAGAAGCATTAGTTTTTTGTTTTTGAGGATGGAACGATTTCTCACACAGATAGTACTGTATAGCGATGAATCGAATTGGTGACAGGATAATCGAATCGTGAGACCAGTGAAGTAATAGTAATAACAGTTATTGTCTGCCAGGCAATCATTCATTTACTCTAGTTTTATAAAGATTATATCCTGCATTATTATATGAATTTCTTGTTTTCTGGGACACTTCTGTTTTCCATGATAGCAGTAGGAAGTTTAAATGACATTTTACACTCAATGACGAATATCACATGTTGAAAAAACAATGCATACCATTTTCCTCTTCCTGGTGCTGTTTGGTATTCTTTATTTCCGGTAAAGTGCTTCCTGTTAAATATATATTTCGAGGGGAAAATATACAGACTTTCAGTTTACACTAAGCTTTATCCAGTGCAGTGTAATAAAAAAGTCCTGCTATAAACCCTACTGTCATGAAGGTTATAATGTTTAGTTTTTATAGAGATGAAGATTAAACGTCATGGTCATTTTTCCAGCTGTAGTGTTTGTTAAGTTTAATGTTGAATATTTTGTTCCCTCTCTCTGTTTTCAGGATAAACACCATGATGCTGCTAATGAAATCATCGAGACCATTCGGTAAGTGACCTTTCTCCCGTCTCACTCAACTCCCACATGAACAGCCAGTGAGTGACTGACGATGATGATGATCTAATGATGTTTTTATGTGTGTGCTTTCTGTAGGTGGGTGTGTGAGGAGATCCCAGACCTCAAACTCGCCATGGAAAACTACGTACTCATTGACTACGACACAAAATGGTCAGTCTAATGGCGCATTTCCACTACAGGGCCTCGCTCGGTATGGCTAGGCCTCGTTAGGCCTTGTTAGGACTGGCTCACTTTATGCTGCGTTTCCATTACAGTTTAGTAGCTGGGGCAGTAACTATAGTAGCACAGTGTAGGCGGAGCCGTGACGTCATCTTCCATGCGAAACACAAAACCAACATCAGCCGCTAGCTGTTAGCCCTCACAGCTCCTCATATCGGTTCAGAAACTAGACAAAAGTTAAACAAGTACAAACCACAGACTGCCTGTGTCATGGCGAATACAGTCGCTGGTTTATTTATGTCTCTATAGGCCGTTGTTGTGAGTGTGGACGGTCGGAGCATATACTGCGTTAGCTTAGCCAATCTCCATTCAGAAAACACGCATTTTAAAAGGTTTTTTGCCTGCCGTCTGTCTGCAGACTTGTCAAAGCATTAATTCATGGTTTAGCATACTCAGCCCGACTCAGCCTGGTTGTTGGCCCGGAAAGAACCTCGATTTGATGGGGCCAGAAAAACTGTGAAATAGTACCCGCTAGCCGGCACTACGCCAAGTGGAAACGCAACCAAAAACAGGCCGGGCACGGCACTGCACGCTTAAAGCGAGCTCCGCGCTGTAGTGGAAATGCGCCATAAGGTCACATAAACAGTTTGTGTTGCTATGACTGTGATTTAAAAAGAAAAAAACTGGAAAACATACTAAGGTACCACTTCATCCAGTCAGGCTAGCAGCTTATCTAACAGCTGATAGCTGATAGTATGTCAATCTAAATATATCTAATATCTTAATAGTCGGTTTTCTTATTTGTCTGTTGAATTTCTATCAAAATTACAATCTTAAAGTGTCAGTAAAAGTAAATATCTCTGCCACTAATGACACAATTATTAGTATTTTTAGAAAAATATGAGTGAAACACTGAAATAGGTGTTGGACTGTGATTTTGGAGTTCATCTTGTACAAAATGATGGTGTTCATTGTGTTTTGTTATTCTCACAGCTTCGAGAGTATGCAGAGACTTTGTGACAAGTACAACAGGGCCATCGACAGCTTCCACCAGCTGGTGAGTCCGTATGTGTGAAGGGCCTTCAGTGCTCTGTAGGTGAAGAAAACATTAGTCACTGAAAGTGAACCACGCTGTATGGACTGTGAGTCTATCACAGCTTTTAATCATTGCTGCATATGACCTTCCACTGTCTTACAATAAATACTTTTAATGATCACTCTTGCTACAATATTTGTGTCACAAATTATCTCATTTGTGGAATCTTTTTAAAACAAAACAAATCAAGTGTATTCATTTGTCTTTGTCCTTGAAAGGCCAGCCCCACTGTACAATATGTGACTCTGATGTGTGGGAAAAGCCATTCTGGATTGTTTCGAGTGTGTGAATATGTAAGGGATAATGTCCGTTGTTACTGTTTGAACTATGTAGCAACGGCAGGAACTGCTTCGATAGCGTTTTTTTGTGGACCTTTTTGATAACAGATTTGAAAACATCGCTGCTTGCTTTAAAAGTAGCAAAATTCATTAATGTCAAACCTTGGAAAGTATCTACCGTAATTTTCGCACTATAAAGCGCACCTGAATATAAGCCGCAGCAGCTAAATTGAATGATGTGTACATATATAAGCCGCACTGGACTATAAGCCGCAGGTGTTTTAATGTTTAATTACCATATCTAAGGGTTCGTGCACAGAGGGGATTGTCGGGAAAGAGATGGCTGTTTGAGGAAGCTCCCATTTATTAACATTTCAACAAACAAGTTGCATATTTGCATAACTTATTCAAGTGTTACCATTTAGTGCAATAGTAGCTACAGAACATGTACTGTGCTGTGTAAACTGTACTGTATCACATAGCGTTTCAGACACACAAACTTTTCAACTTTCAAACTTAGGAGAGGTTACGTCTTCTTTGTGTTATAAGATAGGACTGGCAGGGTCAGTCAAACCTGGTCGTTATCCCGCGGAGCTCCTGTCCCGGTCCCTTGCGCTCTCTCGGCCCGGTGTCTACAGGGCTAGCCCGAGGATCCCCCGCTAGCATCCCCCGCTAGCAACAGGCCTTCAAAACAATGTTAGAGGCGCTCCTGAAACAGCGTCAAAACGGGTATATTTCCCGGGCTTTAATATACGCTTTGTTTCACTCGTTTGTTGTTTTGCTCCTCCGTGTTTTCAGAGCAAGTAGTCGGAGCTGTAAAAATCCATAGATTAGCCGCACCGTTATATAAGCCGCAGGGTCGAAAAATGGGAAAAAAGTCGCGGCTTATAGTCCGAAAATTACGGTAGATATCCCTGCCCTGATGCCAAAGTAACTGGCAACTGAATATGTTTTGCCTTTTGATGTCTATGTCTGGACCGTTGCGTAAAAAGGAGGGATTCTGCCCCGTTACTTCTCCGCTGTTTTCTTGTCCCTCTTGTCTTGTCGGTTTGAAAACTGTATATACAGTTAAATCGACCGAACTTCTTTCTGCAGATTTGAGCGTCCTTAACAACGGTCAATAAGTCCTTGACAGCGGTCTGTCTGTTCTGGATTAACAACGTGTCACGTGTTCTGAATTGACCAATCAGAATCAAGTATTCAACTAAGCCATGTAATAAATATATATACATAATCTGCATTTTATAGTGGAAAGGGACGACCCAGTCCATGAAGCTGAACAAGCGACCTTCCAACGGGCTGCTGAGACACATCCTGCAGCAGGTGTACAACCACTCAGTGACCGACCCCGAGAAGCTCAACAACTACGAGCCCTTCTCCCCCGAGGTGTACGGAGAGACCTCCTTCGACCTGGTGGCTCAGATCATCGACGAGATGGAAATTATGGAAGACGACACCTTTGTTGACCTCGGCAGTGGTTAGTCAGCTGTTATTTTGTGAACTCAATTATGCTGTATACAGTGGAGGAAATAAGTATTTGATCCCTTGGAGATTTTGTAAGTTCACCAAGTACATTTTCTTCTTGATATTCTTACTCTCACTGTTAAAAATAAACCTACAATTATAGACTGTTCATTTCTTTGTAAGTGGGTGAACTTACAAAATCGGCAAGGGATCAAATATTTGTTTCCTCCACTGTATCTGCTTGACACAACTTATTTGAACACATTTTTGGTACCAGGTCCTTCACTCTGTTTGGCTTTCCCACTTTGGATAAACCATTGCAGGCTGAGAGCTGAAGCGATGATAGCGGAAACTTCAGTAACATCATCATGTGCTGATCCTTTAAATGGCAGCAAACAGAAGGACATCTTCCCTTTTGTCTGCAGTGTGCCGTGTCCTTTCGGGCTGCCATTTAAAAAAAATCTCAGTGAATTGACTGAATAAAAAAAATCTCGCTATTGAGCGCAGCTTGGCTTTTTAAAATGACAGGTTTTCAGGGCAATGATTATGTTTTGAGTTGTAGGAGTGGGTCAGGATGCCAATGCAGGTGGGAAAAATCGTTTTCAACAGAATTATTGTCAAGATATATATAAGTAATGTTTTCTGTTTGATGCAAGACATGACCCTATTGTTTTCCTATTTGCAGGAGTGGGGCAGGTAGTGCTCCAAGTTGCAGCAGCAACCAACTGTAAACACTACTTCGGTGTAGAGAAAGCAGACATTCCAGCTACCTATGCAGAGGTGACCACATAATTATGGCAGGACCAGAGGGCTATTCCAGAGAGACAGCGGTGTTGGCGCAGTGCAAATCACCTCTGGAAAATAAAAGCGAAGCCGAAAGTTTTCCGCTGTGTGTTGCCTTTTGCGTCCAATCCGTCTCCAAAGTGGATTTCCTGGTTCATTCTTTATCTTCTTATCATTACCCTGTTGCAACACACCAACACCAGCATTTTGTTGGATAATAATATGCAAATTCTTTCTCTCAGAGCATGGATAACGAGTTTAAGAAGTGGATGAGATGGTACGGAAAGAAACATGGGGAGTACACAGTAAGTTGAATATCATAATAAACACTTTCAAAACCTTTTAATATTGTTGTGTTGAGCCACAGGTATTCATTATTGTCTGTTTTGTTGCTTTCAGCTGGAGAGAGGGGACTTTCTCTCTGAAGAATGGAAGGAAAGAATTGCCACCACAAGGTGTTACACCAAACCGGACCGGCGCAACCGTCTGCAAGACACATTTTCCAATAAATAAGACTATTTATAAGCTGAATTTATAAACAGAGGGACTGGGCATGTTGAACATGTAATGCAAAAGCCCAGTCCCTAATAAAAGCTACTAATTTAAACATATTTACTTATTATTATTTATTATTAAACCTAAGTTTATAAAGGTCCAGAGTTGAATGCCTAAAGGTAAAAAGTTACCAAACAGATCTTCAGGAAAAGTCTTAAGCTTAAGCGTTCGTGTTGTTTGACATGGCCGAGATATATTAGTGAAATTAGAGAAGTCACCTTGTCCTTTTATAAATGTGTCTGCAGAACTTTGCCATAACATTCATCTCTCTTTTTTTGCTGCCGACTGTCAATCTAAAATGTTTTCTTTTCTGTCTGTCTTGCAGTATTATTTTTGTGAATAACTTTGCCTTTGGTCCAGAGGTAGATCACCAGCTGAAGGAGCGTTTTGCTAACATGAAGGAAGGTTAGTATTTAACGGCTAAATACAAGATATGTGTGTGCAACCGTGATTAGATTTTCAAAGGGGAATATTTTGTACTAATTACAATGCATTCACTCAACCATAAGAGCAGTCAATATAAACTGGCCTTTCCCAATCAATTCACAAAGATAGAAACATGTGGGAGGCGTGTGGTGCAGTGGGTTGTGTGTTGGTTTTCGGATCAGGTGGTCACAGGTTCAAACCCCACTGCAATCAGCATGTCATTGTGTCCCTGGGCAAGACACTTCACCTCAAATTGCTCCTGTGGGGATTGGCCCCACTATTGAGTATGTAAGTCGCTTTGGATAAAAGCGTCTAACAAGTATCATGTAATGTAATGTGTATATAGTGGGATTATCATTCTACTGATCCTTTATTCTCCACAGTGAGCTTAGTGTAAGTGTGTTTTTACATGTCATTCATTGACGTGTACAGAGGAAAAGATCAGCCACAACAAATTGAGACATTTTATGAGGCCTATGGAGTAAACCAATCAAAAGTTGACAAAAAAAGCTTTTAAAGATCAGGTGACAACATTTAATTTGTGTAGAAAAAAATCAAGGCCTTTTGTTGGCCTCACTTGACGAGACGCCTTGGCTCCCTGGAAACATATTTATTCGGCTGTTCTTGTTAATAATTAAAACCACAATGGCTGATGGAATCCAGCAGACGCTTTTCCCCGACCCTTCGACATCACTGTGTTCCATATTGTTAGATTTATGTAGTGAGCCATAGATACTATCTGTGTCAACTGTACAACAGTATCTAAAATGTATTTAAATATATTCCAAATATTATCTATAAATGTGAGATAGGAGTGAAGGAGTTCAAGTATCTCGGGGTCTTGTTCTCGAGTGAGGGAACAATGGAGCGTGAGATGGGCCGGAGCAGCGGGAGCGGTACTGCAGTCGCTTTACCGCACCGTTGTGACGAAAAGAGAGCTGAGCCAGAAGGCAAAGCTCTCCGTCTACCGGGCCATTTTCGTTCCTACCCTCACCTATGGTCATGAAGGATGGGTCATGACCGAAAGAACGAGATCGCGGATACAAGCGGCCGAGATGGGTTTTCTCCGCAGGGTGGCTGGCGTCTCCCTTAGGGATAAGGTGAGAAGCTCAGTCACCCGGGAGGGACTCGGAGTTGAACCGCTCCTCCTTCACGTCGAAAGGAGCCAGTTGAGGTGGTTCGGGCACCTAGTAAGGATGCCACCTTGGCGCCTCCCTAGGGAGGTGTTCCAGGCACGTCCAGCTGGGAAGAGACAGAGGGGTAGACCTAGGACCAGGTGGAGGGATTATATCTCTTCGCTGGCCTGGGAGCGCCTTGGGATCCCCCAGTCAGAGCTGGTTGACGTGGCCAGGGAAAGGAACGTTTGGGGCTCTCTGCTGGAACTGCTACCTCCGCGACCCGACCGCGGATAAGCGGGAGAAGATGGATGGATGGATTATCTTTACATGTATTTGCTGAATCTGTTTTCTCTCTTGTTTTTTTTATTTCCACAGGTGGAAAAATTGTATCTTCCAAACCTTTTGCACCTTTAAATTTCAGAATAAACAGTCGAAACTTGAGCGGTAAGTAGCAACATTTAGTGGAAACACAGATTTAATGTCTTATGCTTCCTTCAATGTGTATCTGACATGCAGCGCTTTGTTTTTCCTCTCTCTGCAGATATTGGTACGATAATGCGCGTGGTGGAGCTCTCTCCATTGAGGGGCTCTGTGTCCTGGACTGGGAAGCCAGTTTCCTACTACCTGCATACCATAGACCGCACTATAGTAAGCACTGACGCTCCTGAAGGAGGATCCAAATGCTGACACTAGAACGTCTATTAGAGGAGATCTTGACAAACCAATCAAATGACTGCTGAGGCGGTACAAACATATTATGCATCAGAGACAAAAAAACGCACCAAACTCCTGAGATGGGCTGACTCACTGTCTTAATGAGCAGTCAGTCCCAGGAGGGATTAATCTGAGGAAAACAGGGTAACACATTAGATCAGAGGTCGCGTTAACCGAATATTTTCCGTCTATGACGGATTCTTTTTAACAATGACGAAAAAATCTGAAAGCATTCCGTCATTTTGACAGATTAGAACAAACTCAGAACAGCGCCAAAGTTTCCCCGCAGCGAGGCTCCGGTGTTATGCCGTGTTATGCATGCCCGCCAAAAAGGAAATTATATAGTTTCGAAACCGTTCTTTGCCGTACAAATCATTGAAATGTCTGAGTATTTGCTTTACGCTGTGCACGCTCCCGTGAGGTGCAGTGAGCATGCATAACAGGGTGCTAACAGGGCGCTAACAGTTCACGAGCGTGCGCACCCCCCCCACCCCCACCGTTGACAGTTCACAAGCGTGCTCTCTTCCCCCCGCCCCGTCCCCCATCCCCCATCAGAGTTGTGTACAGACCGACGGGTAATAATGGATTTTGACAGAAATGTTACGATCCTGTCCGTCAAAATGACAGGCAGCGAAAAAGTCTAGCACCACCACTGCATTAGATGCATCAGATAACACTGATGTGTGTGTTAATTGGTTAAATGTAATCCCTGTTTACCAGCGTGAAACCCGGTGAGAGAGCTGGCACGCTAACTACAGTGCCAGTGACATCCTTGTTCTGTGTTGTCACCTGAAATAGATGTGGCTGCTCAAGCTTTAATGTCTGGATTAAAGTTAATAACTGGTCAGTAATCATCATAATCCAAAAACATCTCATAATCACGTCAGGTTGGAGGCAAAAGTGGGAAATATATAGATATTTGATCGTAAACAATTTATGAAAATAATATTCTCACATTCACATTTTCCTGTTTTTCAGCTTGAAAACTATTTTGCTAGTCTGAAAAATCCTAAACTCAGGGTAAGTCATGTTCTTCTTCCTCATTGTATTCAATCATTGTATTTACTTTATTTTCTGTATCAGACAATGAAATTGGTTCATCTTGGTTTCATCAGGAAGAGCAGGAAGCAGCTCGGCGGCGTCAGCAGAAGGACACGAAGGACAGTAAAAGCAATAGCACCACGCCTACAAAACCTAAAGAACAAAACAAGGTAGGACATGCACAAGACTTTGTTTGGAAAGCAGTTCTCAGGACGAGATAGACGAAGTGCAGGGCTCAAATTTATCTTTTGTGTTTATATCCACGGGTGCTTTTGAACTTACTTGAACCTGAATTTCTTCACCTACTGTCAAGATTTGCTGAGATAGGAAAATTGTCAATGTGTTGTCATACATTTTGGTCAAACGGTACAGTAAAAAAACATCCAACTTGTACATGTAGTAGTAATTAATTGTAGTAATTGATGACTTCAGCAAACTTTTAATAAGAAAACATTCATTCGTTGAATTTACGAGAGTTCATAATTCGATTCACAGCTGAAATGTTCCTACCATGTATTACCTCTTGCTGTTTTGTGTGCTTTTTTGTCCTTGACTTTTTTCTCTTGGTTTTCATACAAGTCGATAAGGTCACACAGCAGGGCCAGCTCTCTTTCTCCTTGTATGAATATGTACGGTGTGTTTGTCATGCGTATCGCAGCAGGACTCCTGCGGTGAAGACGAGCGTCCTCGCTTGGTGACCGTGGTCAAGCCCCCTGCCAAACCCCGAAGAGCCCGACTCCTGCCCAAAGTTCGCAAGTTGAACAACAAGAAACGTGGTCGACCCAAGAAGGCCGCCCCCGCTGTGGAGAAGCAAAACAAAAAGAACCAGAGTGCGCTGGATCTGCTGCACGCCAAGACCCTCTCTGCAGCCCCCCCTCAGGGTCAGACACACACACACACACAATGTGCCTCAAAGTACAGAAAGCTTAGAGATCTCAGTTTTAACAATTATTATTCTCCTTGTGTGCACAGATGCTTACCGGCCCCCTCAGAGTCCGTTCTACCAGCTACCTCCCAAGGTCCAGCACTATCCCTCCTCTCAACTGATCCTGAGCCCCACTCCTCCCGGGCTGCAGCACCTGCTAGGTGAGCTGAGGAAGACTCACTTCCATTATTTTATCTGTCAAAATATGTCATAAATATTATACCAGACTCTGTACAAATCTGTATGTAAGATAATAGTGTTAACTATTGCTTTTAGTCTCACATTTAGTTGTAAAATTATTATATTGAACTCCTTTTTTCCAACAAATACCTAAATATAATCCCTGTGTTTCTGTTCTGTTCCTCTCTCTGTGTCCCTAACCTACATCTTCTTACAGATAACATCAAAGTACAATACCTCCAGTTTATGACCCACATGAAGACTCCTCAGTACCGCTCCAACCTGCAGGAGCTTTTAGAAGAGGAGAAGGTGATAAACACTTCCTTTGCAGACATTATTGGCTTCTGCTGCAGTTTCACTTGGGCATTTAACGGCCATATCATTAACACAAATTAAACCTTGTTTTTTAACTTTCTTTACCCAACCTCTTACATGTAATCTTCTATTTTTCTGTCTCTAGCAAAAGCACAGGGACCTGTCAGGGCAGGCGGAGCAGCTCCACTCTGTTTGTCAGACTCACAAGGACAAGATCAAAGGTCTCTTTCAGACCAAACTAGACGAGGTAGGAGCCGTTTCTCAATTTCACTTCATAACACAGCTACACAGATACAATCGGTAATATTACCACTAACTTCTTGTATTAAAAAGCAGTTGTATTCATCCATGCTTATAAAGTTATTTTTCTTTTACGGTAATTCATAAAATTAAGGATACAAATAAAACCCAAAAATGCTATCCTGTACTAAGATTAGCCCTTAATTACAGCTGTTTGAGCGACAGCCTGAATGACTTATATCCCTTTCCAGGTGAACATGGTTTAAGCTAATCTTTAATGAAAGCGAGGCAGATCTTATTTTGGGTGTTTACCTGCAGCGTTGTGTTGTAATGAGAATAAACTTAACACTAAGCTCGCCTGGTTAAAACTTTAAGTCTGTTAAAGCGCGTAGTGTCTCAAGCGTTGGGTTGATCAGACGAGTGCTGTGTTGAAAGCTCTTACTACACCCAACACTGATGTGAGGTTACAGTGATGTGAGGTTACAGTGATCAGAAACGGTTTGCAAGTGCTTTAGCAATGAACACAGGAAAAACACAAATGCACAATGATGCTTTTCTTATTATTGACTTAGAACGGTCAGTGGTGTCAAAAGCCCCCTTTGCTTTATCACTTTATTCCATAAAACCGTAGTAAATAAGAACCATTGCCACATTTGCTTTGCTTTTTTACACTATACCAAACAACGGCTGCATAACGCTTTAAAGATTTGTACTGCTAAGTTGTTGTTTAGGCATTGTGTTTGTGGCTTATATATGATGTGTGTATGTGGTGATCAGCTGGGGGTGAAAGCCCTGACTGTGGAGGACCTGCTGCAAGCCCAGAAGGAGATCTCAGCCCACAACCGTCAGCTGAAAGAGCAGACTAAGCAGCTGGAGAGAGACATGGCCTTACTGAGAGACCATAGCCTGCTTCTGGTGAGCGCTCAGGGCTTACTATGTTGTTGTAACCTCCACCCTTACTACTACATCATCCCCAGAGGCTCACACCTGTCACCATTCCTGCTGCTCTGCATTTGTGTAATGGTGGATGAAGTCCCAGTTCAGCTGTAGTTTTCACTCCACAGCCATGCCCTCAGGCCCATATGAATCTGGATGTGACTTTCCTTCCCGCTCTCTCTCACGATTCAATAACATCAAGCGTGTATGTTTGTTGTTTTCCAGCTGAAGTCTCGATGTGAGGAGCTGAAGCTGGACTGGGGCTCTTTGTGTCTGGAGAATTTGTTGAAGGAGAAGCAGGTGCTACGCAGACAAATCTCTGAAAAGCAGAGACACTGCTTGGAGCTCCAGGTACACAGTCCTCCTCAACTTTTTGGATTCTCCATCTCTCTTCCACCTCTGAAATACTCCCCCACAGTTGCTCTGTTCTCTCTTCTATCCTTCCGCCCCCCTTTTGCCCATCCAACTCGCTCTTCAGATAGATATTCAAGAGGAATTATGCTTGTCACCTAAACCGTATAAATTATAGCTTTCAGGAAGAGCTGAGGATTTCCTGTCATAAACATTTCTTGACATATCAGGAGTGTAATACAGTGCTGTTTCTTTCGTGTAATGTCTCCCCCTTGTGTCTGTTTGTAGATCAGCATAGTGGAGCTGGAGAAAACTCAAAGGCAGCAGGAGTTGCTTCAGCTCAAATCCTACAGCCCCTGTCACGGCTCCCCATACAGAAAGAACCTGGATTCCCGCTCTTCCATGGACATGGACCCCTCTAAGCACGGCCTGTGCTCGATCCCGGCTTTTAACGGCGTCAGCATGGAGATCAACGGCACCAGCTTGCCCTGTTTTGACCGGACCAACACCAAGGGGGAACTTCTGTCTCGCTATCTGCCAATCTCTCCATACCATGAGATAGCACCCGCCATCTCTGATGCCCGGCAGAGGCAGCTGAGTTCCTCCTACGCTCTTCCTGATTACACACGCTTCTCCCCCGCCAAGATTGCCTTGCGGAGGCACCTTAACCAGGACCCCAACGCTCACTTTAGAGGTCCAGGACTGAACATGCACAGGTTGGTTGGCACTAAAAGCACCCAAATGCATTTATTTTCAATGTCTCTACGTTGCTCCCCAGGGTAGCAAAAAGCTAACCTGTTTCTCCTTTTTCATTTAGGGAATTGGGAGGTGTTTACTCGCCACTGGGAGCAAAACTGAACTGTCCTTCTCCCAATGCTTGTGATGCCCAGAATAAAGGCTTTGAGAGGGTAACATTTTATTTTATTTCCAATATGTACACCTGCACTGTTGATCCGTTTTTTTTTAACCTTTCTTGCCGCTTCTCAATGTTAACCATTATGCACTCTTATATTCTCACATAGGGCAAAGAGAGGAGCCCATCTGTTCAGGGTGACAGCGGCATTAAAAGCCTTCCAATCAGTATTCCTCTGAGCACGGTCCACCCGAGTAAACTACCGGTCAGCATTCCTCTGGCCAGCGTGGTGCTGCCCAGTCGAGTTGAAAGACTGGTGAGTACATCCAGTGTAGTAGTATAATAGGTACTGCTATCGTGCCTTTATATTAGTGCCCTGCTCCAAGGTTCACTTGTGAAGAATTGGTGAGCTCAATAGGATGCGCAGGTTAGAGATATGGCGGATATAATTGTAGTTAATTCACCTTAATATACATCGATTTTAGTTTTTAAATGTAAGATATTGTGTGACCTTTATGCCTCTGCATTCATATGTCTGTACAAACGTCCATTCTCGTGAACACAATATCTTAGAAAATCAGGGGCAGGGGCAGGGGCGGGATCAACTCCTGAACAACAACAAAAAGCCCGCGTTTTATCCAGTTTGTACACAACGATGGAGAAACTTAACAAGCCGCAGTGGTCCACTGAAGAGACCAGCTACCTACTGGGAATCTGGTCTTCCGAAGAGGTACAGAGGAAGCTGGAGCACGCACAATCGGCCATTGTTGTTGTTGTCGGTGTGAGCTGTGAGGGGTTTCAGCGCGGTTTGGCTTTATGAAACAGGCACGCAAACGGTTACGTCATGACGCAAACGATGACGCAATGACGCAGCCCCAGTCGGACTCTGGGCGGTGTGAAAAGAGCCGGAGCTGAACCGAAGAACCGGTTCTGAACCTGAAAAGCTCTAGCACGGAGCTTGAACCGGAGTTGCGTTGGTGTGAATTAGGTATTATTAGACTTTCCAAGTGGATAAAGGACAGAATGATAAAGTGATGACTCTATGTAAGGACATGAATATATACTGCAACTTTATAAAACGTAATAGGAATACAGGAATTCAACCCAGTCATTTAAGTTTGATATTGTTTCTTTGGATTTTAATTGATCTTTATTTTTTCAGAGGAGTACTCCGAGTCCTGTATCTCAGTCGGGTCAAACCAACGGTAAGGATAACGTTTAATTACTTAATGTATTATATTGACCACACAATGATTAGTAGCTTATTCTTTACTAATAAAATGCATATCATATTTTTGACTTCATGTTCTTCCTGTGCATCTTCCTAATTGTCTGTTTGTTTCTGTTTAGGATATTTATCGGGCTCAGGGCTGATGAATGGCGGTCCCCACCCTGAGGACCATAATGGTGCTTCTTCATCACCTTCGCATCCCAACGCTCCCTTGACAGGACCAATGGGACGGGGTGGTCCCATCCAGAGCCCTCCACTGGGCACTGGGGGGGTGCTCCAGTATGCAGACGGACCCCCTCGGATTCTTCCGGAAGATGGACAGGATCGCCACGGAGGTGAATCCGACACGGAGCCGCAGGACACTGAACTGCGGAGGAGAATCTTCTTCTCTTCTTCCTCCTCTTCATCCTCGTCTTCCTCTTCTTCGGGCAGCAGCAGCGCGGCCGGAGGATTACGCCTCCACCATCACACTGGCAACAAGCAGGGATACCACAGTAACCATGGAAACCACCACCACCATCACCACCACCACCAGTCCCCCGGCACACAGCACACACACACACCCACACACACATCGTCGTCACACTCCTCTCACGGCCTCGGTGCTCAGGAGGGCCGTAAGAGGGGGAGACGGAAACGCAACTCTACCGCGTCAGTCACGGCGGGGGGGTCCCCGAAGAGGAGGTCCTTCCCCGGGCTCGCCTCCAACCGCTCCTCAGGGTCTCCTCTCAACATTAACTCCATGGTGAGTCCCCAACAGCATGAAGAGAGAACACACACAGGGACCTGACATGATGTGATATAATATTTATTTTTACACCGACAAGTTTACAGTCCATGACTAAAGTAAAGGTCAAGACAATACAAAACAGGAATGTACACTTACAATGAATTGAAAATAAACATCTACTGTCCACACGCCAAACCAAAAAGCCTCCCTATTCTTATTCGTTAGCATTAGCCGCTTTTCCACTGTCGCTCCAAACACAGGCCAGCTAGTGCTAAGAGTGGCCTGGGGGCAAAGTCGGGGGGCATAGGCAGCGCTTATCTGTCTTTTGGGGGGGAAGATGGGATTCATCACTAAAGAATAACCACAAATAAATACGTGTTAACTGTGAAGCAGAGCGTTTTCTTGCGAGCTAAATATGATTACAGAATAAGGTCGAATGATGTTTGCAGAACGAATTGGTGTTTATGAGTCATAAGAAAATCAGCAACACTAGGAAACATTTCAAGCCTTCATTCAGTCAGTCAGGCATTTTAAATGTAAATGAACTTCCCAAACAGACTTTATACCGTCCACTCAGTTCTTCGGATTCCTTTGCCATGTATCACAAAACAAAAAGAACATGCATTATAAAAATCTAGTTGACAAGCAGTGTTTCTGGAATCGCTGAACAAATATCAAACCTGTGTGACACATCTTACTTTTCTTAATTTGACTTAGTTTACAGAAGAGCTGTGATATCCAAATATCATCCCAAAGTATGTGTCCAATGTCAATTAAAGCAATGTATTTATGGAGACTGGAAAGTAGCTTAGATGGCGGCGGGACCTCAATGTTTACTTTCAGGATGTTCGAGTCGCAGGAGGCAGATTCAGGCGGTGAGTTATTATTTTATTTTGCAAATTTAACAGTGATAGTAATTCAACTGAACACATCATGGTCTACTTTTATTATGCCGTTTTTGATGGTGCTAACTGTAATTCCTGTATGTCAGGTGAATGACAAGTGTGCTGTTATTTATTTGTGTGTCGCATACTAAGAGGTTGCATATAATAGGCGGTTTAAGGGATCAGCTCGATAGAAGTTAAGCGAGTGGTTTTTGTTCTCGTGGCTTGGGGCCTTGGCAGATTTACAGCGGCTGCTGGCTCGAAGATGCCACTTGCTTTAGATGGCCCAACAGTGGAAAAGCGGCTAACCAGGACCTGAGTAGGGTATAAATGCACTACAATCTTCATAAAACTGAAAAGGATCCTTTCCCTATCCACTGTGTGATGTGAGGGTGTTCCTCATACAACCACTTTAATAAAATGCATATCATAAAACGGAAGAAAAAAGATTTTCAAGAGTTTAAATGTATTAAAAAGGAATATTTTCCAAACCATGAATGAACACGAAGAAGACATTTTGAACAAATAATTTCTGATCTCAGAACAAGAATTAGTAAATATGTGTACACATTATAGTAAACAGTGAACATATGTAATATTACATGTATCACATTACTTTGATTAATATGGGTTCATTTGACTGCCTGTATGATTATTTATTTTATTTGCAGTTCAATCATGAATTTTTCTTAGATGTTGTGACACTTTACTCAAAAATACCTCTTTGGTGCATTACCACCATTCTTTCCCCATGGATCAAGGACATTGGATTGCTTTCACATTACTCGAAGCCTTTTCTGTTCTTTGTCCCTCAGGTGAACAACATCAACCAGCCCCTGGAGATCTCTGCCATCTCCTCTCCAGAGCAGTCCAGCCGCAGCCCCACTGGGCCGGACATGGACCAGCCCCCCGTCCTGAAGAGAGAGCGCCCCCTGGAGCTCAAAGGGGCCGGCCGGTACTCCTCGGCCCCCAGTTCTGACGACGACGACGACGACGACGACTCAGGATACCCTGCCGACAGCTCCAGTTCACGGTAAGAAACTCGTCATTAATATGAAGACGGGTAACAACGTGTCCCTGATGAACCGCCTTTATAAAAGATGACTGCTGGTCTCCATTACAGCTTGAGGCTTTTTCCCCTTTTCTTTTTTTTAAGTGTCCTGGTGACCAATAAAACTAGTTGCATTTTTTCTTGACAGTTTATTTTTTTCTTCTAGAATTGAAAGAAAAATTGCCACTATATCTTTGGAGAGCAGAGATGGACCTGGTAGAATAGGGGACGGTGAAAGAGGTAAGAAAAGAAAATGTCATTCCAAATACAAATATTTTAAGGAAATAAATTCCTCAGTGTTTGCTATAGTCATCAAGAAGTGAACTTGCTCGTGGAGGCATGGAAATAAACACGACTGAATATCTTGAGTCGCACAAAACTAAACTGTAAAATGTATCCTCATCCATAATCCCACTCCCATATACTGCTGGTGGAAGCATAACTAGTTTAAGAGATTGGATGAAGAGATAATTAATACATTTACTCAGCTTTTTTGGTCAAATTAGCTTCAATTGACTACGCTCTAAATTCGTATCTCGAATATTTCTTTTTTAATCTTGCACTTCTTCTGCTTAATGCCAATATTTCTTTCTCTCCTTCTCTCTTTTTTTCCACTAGTCAGGAAGTCTGGTAGCAGCAGCGGTAACAGCACAGGAAGTGACGCCTCCTCTTCCTCCTCCTTGTCCTCCAACAGCAAGTGGAAAGCCACCTTCTCGCCCATTTCTGACCCCAAGCAGCCTCACTCGGACCTGAGGCAGGGGGGCTCCCCCTTCGGCATGGGGGGGTCGGGCCGGGGCACGGACTCAGATTCAGACCACAAACAACAACAGCATCATCAGCAGGGGAGGAAAGGAGGTGAAGGAGAGTCGTCCAGCTACATTAACCCCAACCCCTTCCTCAGTCAGGAGACAGGGCCCCGGGGTGGAGGCAGCGGCGGTGGGGGAGGGTCCCAGGGAGGAGGGGGATCGGACCAACGCCAGAACCTCCAGAAACAGAAGGGCCCTCGAGACTGGGAGATGAAGACGAGCAGCAGCATGGCCAGTCAGAACCTCTTCATATCTGCCGCTGCCAGCAGTGGTGGAGGCATCCTGAGTGGGAAGGTGGGGGGCGGTCCCGTAGCCATTTCCTCCACCACAGGACCCTCTGTGGGCCAGTACCTGGGGTCTCAGTTCCCACTCGGAGGGGCCTCAGTCCTGCAGTCCTTGTTCGGGGCCCAGACGGGCGGATCCACGGTGAGTGGGACACCGAGGCTCGTCAACGGAAACTCCGTCCTGGGAAGCTTCTCCAGTGCTGGGCTGGCAGGTGGAGCGGCTGGAGGTGAGTCAGATCAAACTGATCACGTACAGTACAGAGGGAGGGTTTATTCTTAGCTTGGGGTCGATTGATAAAGAATAGTATGAGTCCAAGATGAGGGAAAGGGCCTGCTGATAAAAGCAGGTAAGTCAAGGTCCATTGCTGCCCGCTTCCTGCTGACTCACTGACAGTTTCACCGACTGACTGACTGACTGACTGATTGACTGGCTGACTGACTGACTGACTGACTCAGTGACTGGCTGACTGACTGACTGACTGACTGACTGACTGACTGGCTGACTGACTGACTGACTGACTGGCTGACTGTGCTACCTTGCTTTGAGATGGGCTTGCTGCTTAAATGCTGAAACACCCTTGGAAAATGTTGCACTTTAAAAATAAGAAATGCTTGAGAATTTTTTTAATAAAAAGTAAAAATCTGAACAAATAATTTATTTTGACATCTGTGATTGACCATGAATTAAATATACATCATTAATACTTCACTATATTGTCATTTTCTGTGGGTGTATCTATTGGAGTTGTATGTCAGAGTCAGTTCACCTGTAAGCAAAAATAAATAATTAAATGTTACTGCAATAAGAACCGCTTTAGTACAATTCTAATTGGCTCCCACATGCTGGGTGACAGTGTCCTGACTCTTGCTTTCTGTGTGCTGGTCTCAGACCTGCTTGCTGCTCTGCACAACCCGGCTCAGTCCTTGCTTCTCTCTTTGTCGCCCCCCACCCCTCTTTCTCGCTGTCTTTGCCACCTCTGCTCTGTCTCCACTCTCCCCCCTCCTCCGTTTCTGCATTATGATTTGCAGGTATATTTCACCATGTGGGGCCCTCAGTGTCCTCCCATCAGTTTGGGGTGAGGCTGCCTTCCTCTGGAGGCCTCGGCTCTCTGCTCAGTCTCTCTTCCTCCCCCTCCTCCCAAATCCAGCATCACACCACCCCCCCAACAGGCCTCCACCCGCCTGGTGTTGTCCCCTCTCCCCCTCTCCCTGTCCCATCACATTCGCACCCAGTCGGTCCTGCACAGCGCCTCCCCCCCCACCCTCACCCTGCCTCCCCCTCCCCCCCCTGCACAGCACCTCCTCCTCCTCCTCAGCAGCCGCCCACTCTGACGCCCCGCCTTCATCTCGATCCGACTCCTCCCGCCTGTCCCACCACCAGAGAGCCTCCATCTCCTCCTCCCCCTATGTCTCAGTCGCTGCTGCTTCCTCCCTCTCCTCTTCCTCCCTCTCCTCCTCTCGCCCATTCGCAGTGCACTACCCCCCCCGGCTGCCTCCTCCACCTCAGGCCAGCAGCTCAGGTGGAGGCGGGGGCATGTGGAGGACTCAGGGCACGCATGGCACCTACACCACCTCCCAGCCTCCTGGCTCCAGACCTAGATAGGGTTTGGGGGTGAGTGGAAGGGGGGAGGATGGAGAGGGTAAGGGCAAAGGGCAATCAGAGGAGGAGAGAAAGTGAGACTGATAGGGAGTGAGAGAGACAGGATACCTGTTCTAAAGCTGCCTTACGCTGTTGTTCTGATTGAACAAGGTAAGTCCACTCTCAGGTTTTAAAATGTGGGTTTCTGCAGTGAAATGTCCAAAAAATGACCTGACCTATTCATTGCTATTTTGCTCCATTGTGCACTTGCAAAACAACAATCTTTTTCCAACAATTTCCAACCTAGAGAACTTTGAACGCTTGTATTGGTGTCCTGTCCCCTTAAAGCATGTGTCAGCGTTGATTAACTGGCAGGAGTGATTATAAATTGACGGTCTAACCAGTTTAAACGATAACACTTCCTGGTTGTTTTTACCTATATATTTCCATATTGTTCATTCAGGATGAACACTTTTAGTTACTGGATGCCTGGACCTTAGTTTATCGCAGAAATGCCCTCACCACAAAATCAGCAGCCACACTTTTTATGCCCGCTGAACTGCTTAGGAGAAACACAGATGTTTAGCATGAAACAGCTTTTATGTCAAGTTTATCCCGGTGTTACTCACCGTGTCTGTTTTTGTGTTGGCAAAGAGGTAACCTTTCAGATTATTCGGTTCTGTAAGAATCTCTGTTGATGAATAATGAAATAATCATAACAGGGACAAGATGATTTCAATGACAAACTCCCATGACTCCACGCTACTTCACTACGCCGCCGTCTCTTTTTTTAAATAGTTTTGTGGCAGATCAAAGTCCGTATAGCGTTGGTTGGAGATAAATGGATTTTGAAAGTGACAGGATTTGACTTACTGTGTTGTCTTATTTGATGAATCTGTCCCCTTATAACAAACACTCATTATCATCTGTTTCTGTCTTCTTCGATGTTTCAGGTAATTGTTGAATACTACCTCAAAATGAAATAAACTATGCAAATGTCAGAGGTGTGGACCGAGACACTCTCCTCATCACTGGTGCTTCAAAACGTCTGCACTACCCAACCGCCTCCAAGACCGGCTTCTGTACTGGGATCTCACACACACACACACACACACACACACACACACACACATACACACACACACACACACACACACACTGGGTGAACTGAGTCATTAGGCTGTCTGCTTTTAATTAAAGGTGCTTCATAGTATGACAGTGTCAGTTTTGTCTTGGTCACTTATCATAGCAACTAGCTAAATAATCTGTTTACTTAAGCTTTCTGATCTGAAACTGATCTGATCTGTTCCCTCCAAAGTGTCACTTCCTCCGAGTGCACTCACACACACACTCGCACACGGACAGACACACACAGACCAGTTAATTGAACTCAGATGTCATGCAGTGTTCCTGCTTGCACGCTCTCTTATCTCTGTTTTCTTCCTTGGGTGAAATTGTGTTGCATACACCAACATATTTGATAATGAATTTAAGTTAGGAACTTAGTATTTTGGGTCTAACTTCACACTGGATGGTAAGATAAAGTTACTCATGTAGCAGAAGATGTGCTAGTCCAGCCTGGTTTGTTGACACCCCTTAAACTCTGCTATTGTTCATGATTTACAACATTTTTACGTTTTCTAAAAATATGATGTACTGTTAAGTCTCTGTTTAAAAGCAAAGAAACACAGAACTAATATGCTATTTCTTTGTTATTAAGTTGAGAAAATCCAATTAAATAATTCTCAGGTGTGATTATCTTCAATATCAGATATTTAACAAATCAGTGAAAGTTATTTTTTTATTAAAATGTTTACTGTTGTGACTAATCAAGCATATTAAGCTCAATGAATGTAAAATATGGACATATGAAGATCCATTCATGTTTTGAAATCTGAAAAAACGTAAGATTTCAGCCTAGATTTGGAAATATTGTGAACTAGCAACTCTTTATTGGGTGGACTTAACGCTGAGCTGAGTACATTTTCTTTATTTTTTTAAATAACCCATGATATTTGATTGATAAAATGGTGCTATCTTGACATTTTTAGCCACTTTCTGTATTTATTAACATTTATTCTCCTTAGTCAATTTGGTAAGTTACACTACTTTGAGGGAACACAGCCTAAAACAGCAGAAATGTTTGAACTCTTCTTAAGCTAATCATATTCATATTTATCTCTACTGTTGGGAAACGCAGGTTTAAGTGATTGTTTAGGGCATAAAATGTGGACACATGTTTTGTTTAACACTCGTGCATGCAAATCCTCACACACTGAGAAAACCATAACCACAACAAACTACTGGACTCTCTTCACACCTTTTTTTTTGCTTTTTTTTTTATTGTGTAATTAGTTTTTTTGTATAAAAAGATTTGTACTGTGAATGTGATTCATTCTCCGACTGTATAGTTGTGTATAATTTAGATTCTTATATTTATGCTGTCGGCCTCCATTTGCCTTGGTATTGGTTTTATTCTTCTTTTTGTTTTATCCTGAAATGTGTTGGCATTTTAGAATGCAATGGTGCTTGACTCACAGTCTGAAAACTATGGTGCTACATTTGGACTGTATCTGATTATTTATTCTGTGGTGAAAACATCAAAAACAAATCGAATACTTGGTGCTGTACACAGGGACACTTTTTTAGCCTTTTTCTGGCACTTTCTTTCTGATATTTAATGTCTGGTTCTTGGAATTCCTAATGGATAGCTGTAGACCCCAATCCGACAGAACGACTCTGCAGCAGCTGCTCAGAGTGAACCGCTGTGAGGACGTTTCTCACGCCACAGTTTCAAACACAAGTCAGCCTCAGAGCGAGCTGCTTATCTGTTAGTGAACATACTCAATGTTTCTGTGCATAACTTTGGTTTTCCTTATGAACAGAAAGGTATACAAAATATGTATCTATATACACAGTCTAAATATATATATATATATATATGTATATATGTATATGTATATGTATATATATGAGTGAAAAGGGTTGTTTTGGCATTGTGACCTTAAACTCAGCCTGTTAAACAGGAGGCTTGAAGCCAATGAGAGAGGAGCTTTGACATCACTGGACCTTGTGATAGAAATAGAAACTGAAAAGCTGTGCGTATTTAATGCAGACAAACAAAGGTGCTGTGGCTTAAACACGACTAGATTTCACTTTTATCAGATGTTGTCACCTCTTGTTTATTTTTATTTTTACCAATACAATTTCTGCAGGAAAAAACGGTGCTTCTGTTTCCAAACAATCGCAATTCTGTTCTGAAAAACTTCACTGGTGCATACAAATCCTCATGTCCACGTCTTACACAAACTGTCCGTCGCTAGATATCGCACTACACAAGGCCCTACCTTGTGATGTGAGCATATTGTGTCAATGGAAAGATGTACAACTCTTGTGTTAGGATGTATGTGTAACACTTTGTTGGGAGTGAGAACATCCAAGCTTCCCTTTTCTCTGATAGTGGGAAAACACTTGGCTCAGTTTGTGTGTGCTTTTTGTCCCCACTCTCCGGTGCATATCTAAGGGAAGATAAGATTAATAATCAAAGCTTTATTGTCCGCCTGTCCTGTGCACTCAATGTGTTTCTCACCTGCGACTGTTTTAAATATAAAAGAAGAAAAAATCATTTTAGTGCAACATTTAGAGACTAGTCCGTTTGTTACCAGCACTGAGAGGTATTTTGTAATTATTGTTGATGCTGTTTTGATTTTCTTATTCTTGGTGTTTGATACAATTGCAGTCACATGTTATGCTTTTAATGGTGTCTTCAGATTCCTGTCAGTTTGTAATACTATTTAGACCGACAGCACGGTGCTCTCCTTCACTTAAAACAAGGAAATTGCAGCTATTGATAAATACTACTCTCCTCCTGTTGTGCTGCAGGGTTTTATGGTTTAATAATCTTCAACACGAGTTTACCAGAAATGTTCTCGAATCTGGAGTGTCTGCGTGATGTATGTGGAAGTGAGAACAGTTTATGGAGACGGCAAAAAATGTGCAATCATTACAGATTTCAACCAGTTTTATAGCTGCTTATATAATCAGTCAAAGGGATGAGGTGCTGTTATTCAAGTCCTTTGGTGTATGAGCATGGTTTAAATAAAAGCCTCTATGCAGTTCTCCCGCATGCTCCATCCTGATACATTATTAATAATCTGTGAGAGCTCTGCAGTGGAGGCTGTTTACTCTAAATCCTGCCAAAGGTCGTAACTCAGGAACTTCCCACATGGCTTGAAATTATGTAAACAATTTTCTTAAAACTACTGCATGTCATAAACGTATGCTCCATCTCGTGGCATGATTGAGTCCTATTTGTAACCAAACTCAGGACCAGGACAATGCCTGAGTAAGCGAGGTAACATTCAAACCTCAGATTTATTCTCGCTGTCACATACATCCAGCGCCTCCGGTTGAATCCAGCTTTATAAAGCTTTAGAATCCAGATGCTGTGAAATGGCTTTCAGCATCTTCCTCATCTCACAAATGCCTTTGTCTAAATTTGTCAAACAAAAGAGGTTCACGGTCCTTTGTTGGGACTCTTCCCATTGTTTGGTGGGCGGACATGTGACAGGATGTGTACAGCGATGTCTGATGGGTGCAGCCAGGGCAGGTTTGAGGTGCAATAACGCAAACCTACTTCCCAAAAGGCCCTGCATTTACATGAGTTCTTACTGTTCGATGTTGGTGCTTTTATCCTAAGATGTTATAATGAAAGAAATGAAAAACATGGTTCTTTTTTCTCCCCTGCGTTTTATGATTATTAATAAAAATGTTTCTTCTATTTGAATTCATTTTGTGTTTAGTGGCATTTTTGTCTGATCGAATTGTTATTTTTCCCTCGTAAGGGTTATAATTTATTATTTTTAAATGTCTTTTAATTTTTCAAATATTCTAGCCACTATTAACAAAATTATTTTTGTTATTTAATTAGTTTTGATGCTAACTAAAGGGAAGATTATCTGTGATGCAGATGAAGCAAAATTACACGTCTTGTAATGAGAATTAATCTGTATATTTAAAAAAGGCTAAAATATGTTTTAACTACAAAGCCAACTTAATTAACTTTAATTGTTTTTGATTTAATGATTCACAAATAGCCATACCTCCCATTAACATAAGAATATTTGCACTCATTCGTACCAAACTTTCCTTATGGTTTCATTAGAATTGTATATTTAAAAAAAAAAAAAGTTTTCATCAACACTGAAGATAAATTAGGGGGGTCCAAATAGCGCTGTATGTAGATGAGAATAATTAATATTTTTTTTACAACTGGAGCTTTTAAAAGGTAAGACACTTTACATATGTTAACATTCATAAATAAAAAAAGCACACAGGCATAATATAAAACACACAATTACATTACACATTCAAACGAGACTACAAAAGTATTGTCTAAATTCTCTTTGAGATTATAGATGTGTGTTTTTACACACAACCAGACATTACTTCACACTCTTCAAGAACATCACGATTAAGTGGTTCCTGTCCCACAAACAGTGTTGGCGGATGTTGCAGCCATTAGAAAATAATGAACTGTTCTTTTCGTTCCACAATGAAGGTTTGTGATGTACAAGAATGAGCCTTGGTGTTATCTCTCGGGATACACGGCTACTAAACATCTGAGACCTTGACTGTCTGCACAACAGGAGTGCAGCTGTGAGAGAGATGGTGGGAGTGAAGGCCCTATGAAAGGAGTCGGGCCTCATGTCTACGTTTCTTTATGGGAGCAGGACTTTATTCACTTGTTTTCCCACTTTAGCATGAATAAGAGCAGATCAATTAGACACATTTACGAGATAAACATGTTTCATTCAGCTCTTTTATCACCGTGAGAGCATTTACCTAAAGGAATATGTCTCCATTGTGTAAAATATGCTTTATTAAAGGGGACCTATCATGCTAAATGCACTTTTGTACGTCTTTTATACATGAATATGTGTCCCCGGTGTTCCAGGGAACTCACCAAGTGTCAGAAAACACAACCCTCTCTATTTTCCTCCATACCCACATCTCTAAAAAAGGGGCTGCAACGGATCTGATAAAAACTGATCCAGATTTGAACACTGTCCTGACGTCAGGACGGTGGCGCTACGGCTATTGGGCCAACTCCACCAATCAGGAGGAGACAGCCACAGCCATTGCCGTTCGAAAGCGCTGGAGACGCTGTAGTACATATGTCAGGCCTGTAGATGGTGCTGTTCTCACTGAATCTGCCCAGAGCTAGAAATGGTCAAATTGAGCAAAATGAGGCATGGCTAAAATGCATGATCTGTTTGGTATTTTGAAAAAGTATAAATATGCCTTATATAGGTATGGTCCTACACTATATTATTCAAATATAGCATGATAGGTCCACTTTAAGGTGGGGTAGGTAATTTTGGAGAAACCAGCTCGAGTGCGCTAGAATTTGAAAATACACAGCCGGAAAGAATCTGCCACTTCCTTATAGAGCCCCTCCTCCAACACACACAAACGCGCACATGACCAATGAGGGCACGAGATAAGTTTGTGCACATATGGAAGGCTGACAGGCAGGTAGGCCATCCAGTTATTTTTGCCGGGCCGGCTAGAATGATTGGTCGTGCTTTTTACAGTATTACGGCTTCTACAGATGACATTTTTTAATGGATTTTTTGTCAAAGCACTTAAGATATTCATTGCTATCGGGATGTTAAGAGCATTCCATGGAATATAACAAAAAGTGTATCTCGAGCCGGTTTCTCAAACTTACCTACCCCACCTTTACTTGCTAGTAGGATGAGAAGAGTGATCCACTCCCACAGCACTGAGAGCCCAACAAGAGGAAACGGTTGGCTTAGCTCTGGCTAAAAGTAACAAAATGAGCCTACCAACACTTCTAAATCTCACTAATAAACATTTTATTTATTGTGTTCGTTTACCACACAAAATAATGCAGTGTTAGATTAGTTGTGGTTTTACATAGCCAGTAAGCAGGAACTTCCTGAAGTCTCTACTGGTGGCCTTCAAGACTTCAGAAAGTCCCTGCATCCAGTCAAGAAATAGTCCTGTTAATAACTCCATGTACAACTTTAATTCCTTGTTGCAGTCTTCAAAATAACGAGTTGAATAGTGAGATGTAGCCTACTGGTAGACACATTTTGTAAACTATGGACAGCCAGGCTAGCTGTTTCAAACTGCTTCCATATACTATGCTAAGTTAAGCTAACCATCCTCTGGCTCTGGCTTCATATGCAACACACCGCTATTTTTTATCTTTTGCACTTCTGTTTTTTAAATTGAATTTATCGAGTTGAATAGTGAGCTTTGGATGTAGGCCTACTGGTAGACAAATGTAGTAAACTATGGACAGAGCCAGGCAAGCTGTTTCAAACTGCTTCCATATGCTATGCTAAGTTAAGCTAACCATACTCTGGCTCTAGCTTCATATGCAACAAACAGCTATTTTATTTTTATTTATTTTTATCTTTTGCACTTCTGTATTTTTTATTTGATTTAAACAAAATAGAGCTTGTTGTTGTTTTTTAATTTAGCTGCTCAGCTCAGGTGTTTTTATGAAAAACAACATTCAACTCATCTGTGTCTTTTCTACATTCAGTTTAAATGAAGCTTTGCTATACAATCATGAAGGATTAAAACACCTTATCTCTTTTGTGTATAATATATACTTGGATATCCATTTGAGTTTACACACATTAAGCTCCAAACCAACAATATTGCCTTTTCTTTGCCTTTCTCCCATTATCAGACTTCAACTTGCCTTTGTGAGGTGAAAGACACATATTTCTGTGCAGCAAACAACTAAAAAAAGAATCCACCGTGAAATGATCAAGGCCAAATATTTGGCAGCACGTGACCACGTTAGTGAGAAGAGAAGGTGGGAGCATATACCTCCCTACCTCCCGAGCTTGACACATTCATAACATGTGATAAAGATAGGTCTGACCAGACATGTTCAGACAGATAGAAGGAAGATGTTTGTGGATGTGTTCTGTGTCGCAGCGCTGATGCTCTGCTGCTCCAGGCTCTCTGTTGGCCTGCACCTCTCCCACGGACGGCCCCCGGCCCGCAGCCCCTCACTCACAGGTCAGACTCTGCACAATGATGAGCGGTTTGCAATAATATTCATGCAGTTCTGTGCAATGCCTTTATTTTTATGTTGTGGTGTATTTATCTGGTCAATAAGTGTGTTTTGGATTGTTTGCATGCCTTAAAGTGGACCTATCATGCTATATTTGAATAATATAGTGTAGGACCATACCTATATAAGGCATATTTATACTTTTTTTTTTTCAAAATACCAAACAGATCATGCATTTTAGCCATGCCTCATTTTGCTCAATTTGACATTTTTTAGATCTGTTTTTAGCAAGGGTTGATTCTGTGAGCAACAGCACCATCTAGAGGCCTGGCATATGTACTACAGTGTCTCCAGCGCTTTCGAACGGCAATACCGTGGTTGTCTCCTCCTGATTGGTGGAGTTGGCCCAATAGCCGTAGCGCCACTGTCCTGACATCAGGAAAGTGTTCAAATCTGGATCCGTTTTTATCAGATCCGTTGCAGCCCCTTTTTTAGAGATTTAGGCATGGGCGTAGGAAGCATCCTGAATGTGGGGGGGACATTTTTAACGGGGGTGTGGGGGCGAAAAAATATATAGATTTCCTGTATTCTGGTGCATTTTAACAGGTGGTTTGATACTTTTATGTGGCTATACTAGCATGAGGAAAATGATGGGTACATTTTGTAATTTCAGTAGTAAAGAAAGGAAACATATTTGATTATTAATTCAGAGCTGTCTTTGAATGAATAAAAAGCAGTTTAAATGCCCATTTTTTGTACATTTATATACAACAATAAATATTTGTGAGTGCATTGAGAGATATTGTTGTGGAGAGTCATTTATATATAAATCGCAAAATACATTTGTGAATCCTTCTGTGAGCATTTATTAATATTGAGACTGATCTGACTCCATACGGATGTTAAGTTCACCTAGGAATGGTATCATTGACTTAAATGTTCAAATAAATGTTGCTCTTCTGTCTATATTGGTCATATGATGCCCCTTGACTGAAATGTTTCCTGTTCAAGATCCCCACTGATTTCCTTAAAATCCTGGGATGAGAGTCCACATCACAATTTACTCTCAACTGTCATTTCCCTTTCATCACTCACCTCAGCAATGGACCTCTCTCCACTGTCCCTGTATTCTGCCTCTGACTCACTCTCAAGTGCCTAGATGTCAAGAGAGGTGGTGAAGTGATAATAAATACTGATAAATACTAGTAACCTGGCATTTCGATGCCTTTTCTCATCTAAACTATTCAGTATTTGTATCTCTCTCTATCATGACATAAAGACGAAACTCCTCTCCAGAAGTGAGACACCGCCATCACTGTTAACTGATTAACTGCTACCAGCTGATGACTTACTTTCCTCTTCTTTGAAAAAAATGTTCTTATGTCCATGTTGTCTGGGGGAGAAAACATATCAAACCAAGAGATCGTCAGCTTTGATTTTCGCTGTATTAACCATTTCCTGAACATTTGGTGTGTGTGCCTTACCTCCGCTACCGGCATCGCTTCATACAACAGATCTGAGCTGTCCAACTATGACATCACTCCTTGAACATGCGCGCGCTATGTGAGAATCTGCCTTGGTACAAAGTAGCAGTGAAAACATGGAACGGAGTTTCATTGATTTGGGCATTCTCTCAATAAGCAAGTGGAATGGATTTCATTTGATAGTGAAGCACTGACACAGCGCTCGACAAAGTGCAGCGAGTGGATAGACCGATTCACGGACTTT